GTGGATTCACCATCCCTGGAGATTTTTAAACGCAGATTGGACGTGGCACTGAGTGCCATGATCTAGTAAATGGACTGGATTTGGACCAAGGGTTGGACTCGATGATCTCGGAGGTCTTTTCCAACCCAATCGATTCTATGATTCTATTCTATGATTCTATGTCTTAGTAAGTGTAGTAGCCTAGTTATCTGGAGGAAAGCCTGTTTTAAAAACTACCAAAAGAAGTTGGAAATAAGTATCTATTCTCAGCCTGTAGACAGATGTTGATCTTCTCTGAAGATTCATGTATATCCATGGTGGAAGAGGGTGGACACGGGAACGTGACCTTCCACCTGCTGTGGAGGCTGTCACCTCGGCAATGTTGTTCTCTCTGACTCAACAAATACCTGCTGCTACTGTGCAAAACGAAAGTTAATGCGGTACTCCCCAAAGCAGTTAAAGCCTTGTTCATTTTATCAAGCTTTCTGATACCCCTTAATAAATAAATTTCACAATAAGTAGGATTTTCAAAAGTATTTAAATTACCGTGAGAGTGTAAGACTCTAAATCCCATCTTGCCTAGACTTGTCTTTGTACAGGATCTGTTATGATGTTTTAAAGAAAGAGCAAATGAAAGAGATCTGTTTTTTCGTAGTTTAAGTTCTAGTCCTCCATGTGAAATTCTGAATAAAATGTGTTCCCAAGAGGTTTACAGCAAAGGGGTTTATAGCAAAGCCCCAGGGTTTACGGGAAAACCCCTTGGGGAGACAGTTACTCATAAATTCCTTTCCCAAACACATAAATGCTAGCCAACAACATTAATATAATTCAGACTTTCACATGCTGGTGGATGTATTAGCTGATGGTATTTGAGCTGCTTTGAAATGCTGCCTGAGCCTACAGATGCTGCCTTTAAGCATCAACACCAGCTTTGTCAGGTGGCAATAATTCCACTGCTGCTGCATTCAGGAACAGTTATGTCTTGCTGTTAAGGCTGCTCCATCCTGTGCCGGTTGCCTGAGACTTTCTCATACAAAATACTTGAATCAAAGCCCTTGTCTCCCACCTTCCTGGTATTTAAATAAAGCAGTCTTCCTCCACAATCTGCATCCTTCTGATGTAAAAAGAAAAAGCAATCGTGTAACATTGGCTAATTCTTGTGGTTGGACTGCTTTTTCAAATATAATTTTCTACAGGAGACGTGCAGAGTGTCATTTTTCACAAGGAAATGGCACAATCCAAGAGCATAATCACAGTGGTTGTTTGCTCCATCTCCCTGTCTCTTCATCTTTCTGTGAGTCTCCAACACTTATGACATCAGTTTCCAATTATATGATCATATTGGGTTTATGAATCCAAAGGTTGAATGAATTGTATGTACTGAAAATTGTATCTACTGAAAAACTTGTACTGTTCTCTAATTTGGCAACCCTAAATATGATTCAGAGTTTAAGTTCACAAGTCTTTAATAGTTTGTTTCTTATTTTGACAATCCCACCAAACTGTAAGATTGTTAGTCAACCAGTATTCGTACAGTTCAGCTGTACTCATCTGCAAACTACTTAAATTCATGTCCAATAAAGTGTAGCCTGTGGCAAAGCAGAATGTGCCTAATTTGTAGCCAGAATTTCCTCAAAGATTTATCAGCAGTCTACGTTGTAAATACATGCTGTATTTTCAGCAGAAAGCATTGTTATTTGTATAGTACTGGAAGCTCAAAGAACCACCTGCCCACACAAGCTATCAAGCAAAGGCCTAGGGAAAAGCTGACCTTGTAGCCAAGAAAGTGTTACTTGCCTTGAACCCAGTTTAGTGATAGCATAGAGTAGATGTGGCAGTTCTGAAGACCACTGTTGGATTCCAAATTTTAGATATGAGAAAAGAAACTGCTAAACAGAAAACCCTGAGTCACAGAAGCTGGGGAAAAACCCTTTTTAGTAACTTCATCACTGTGAATTCTTCCTGCCTCCTCCAGCACGACGGAAGAGACTCCTTGCATGATGTTATCACATGCCCTGCCCAAGCCAGAGACCATACCCTGATTTGATCAACCTATACAGAAGACCCATGGTGTTTTATCTCTCCTTTTGTGTTACCTGTCCCCCCCTGCACCTGTCAAACCTGGTTTTTCCCTTACCTCACCTCTGGAAAGTCCTCAATTGTAATAAAATGAATATGCAAGCCCCCTGTTGAATATGTAAACCATGAACTGCCACGGCCCGGGGTGGAAGTAGGAACATGACAGCATACAGGGGTTCAGACAAGGTGGAAGGTCTGGAGCTATTGCCTTTATTAAGGGACTGCACTGGCTTTTATAGGGTTCGGGTGGAAGGCACTGGAACATGAGTGGAGCATGGGACAGACAAGGGAATGAACCAACGAGGGAAGGCAGGAGGGAAAATGATGTCAGCACTAGCCAATCACAGGGCTTTGAGCACTGTGGCAAACTGCGGCCAATCAGAGCAAGGGACAAGAACATGAGGGGAAAAACAAGTCTGAAAATGTTGAAAATGACTATAACTGGGGTACAAGGTAATATATAACATGCATTAACAAAGTCTGTAGTCTGTAATAATAAAGTCTATTTCCAATGAGGATATAGGTAGCAAAACTCGAGGCCACTGATGTCCTTTGGTGCTCCCTCAGTGACTTTCATACAGTTCACGCCATTTTCTGAATCTTTCCCATTCATCATCTTCAACAGTCACAATGAACCCTTTAAATATGAAGTTGTGAACCCAATAAAGGATTCCAGTTTTCTGCCTCCCCTGGGATTGTGATAGCTTATTGACCTCCGCAGACCACAAAAAGGAGGAGGGAATGAAAATAAGGGGCAGTGGCAGATGGCCAATGTCCCTGATCAAACAGATGAAACAAGGTCTGCAGAGTACCCAAGAGCTCCTGGGTGTTCAGCCTCACAGGCTCAGGGCCAGATTTGAGAAAGGCTGCTGGTGGCCTTGAGAGAAAGAGAACAGAGGTCAGCAAGGGTTATCCTGCTTCACAGGATGCTGCTTTTAAGCTGAAGCTCTTGCCCTCGTTTCCTGCCTGAGGTGTCCCAGCTACACCTGTGCCTGGCCAGGGACCATTTATCTGGACCACAATCCTGACACTGTGTATTGAGGTTGTCCCTGCATCCCAGTGGAGATATGCCTGATGATGGGGACTCCAGCGTACTGGAGGCCCCAGCTGAGGAAGTAAGGAGAAATAAAAAATAACAGCCCTTTATTAAACGATACATGTGTATTGGCAGAACAACAAAAGAACACAAAACCAACCAAACAATAATCCTGTACCCAAAAATCCCCTTCAAAAAGGAAACAGTTCAGTACCTTCTGCCTTTTGGAGTAATTCTAACCATGATTGGCAGGTGGTGCTGTTGGATCACTGGAGGTGCAGAGCCTTCAGTTGCTTGGTGTTGGTCAGCAGCTTGGGCTCTGGTGGTCACCGCGTGGGGCCCCAAAATGCGAGAGAAGCTGAAAATGGAGATCTCCTCCCCATCGAGAAGGGGAAAAGGAAAAAGGGGGAAGAGGGGGTTCTTCCCAGGAAACTCATGCTGTCTGTGGCTGGCTGTGGCCAGGATTTCCCCGTCTTTGTTGATGGGCACACGCCACTGCCAAACACGGGAGTGGAGGAGGGAAAGGGTGACCTCCTCCCCAAAAGGTTCCTCTGCAGGTGGGTCAAGCCTCTCCGGTGAAGACTGAGCAGGTCTGGGCTGGGGGCAGCACAGGGCGCAGGAAAGCAGAGGCAAACCTGGGGCCAGAAAGCAGCCAGATGACCAGGCCGAAAAAAAAGTGAACCTCGGACCCCTCCAACACACACCCTATCTCCATCAGGGCAAAAGTGGAGTGCCTCCCTGTTAATGTTTACCTCGGCTGAATGCCAGGTATTCACTGGGCCTGCGCCCAACCTCTCTCGGGAGGGAAAGGGGAGGAGGAATGGGGGACAGGAAGGGAAAAACTACGAAAACCGTAACTGCCAAGAAAAACGGCTTTATATGTACACAGAGAGAAAAAAAAAACGTATAAAACTATACACACAGAGAAGAACTAACAACAAAGATTACTTCCTCACAACGAACACTCTTCTCCCCTGAAGAAGCAGCCCATCCACCACCACGCAGCTACCTGGAAGAGAAGAAAACCCTTTACTTCCTTCCTTCCCGTCTTTTATATCTGAGCTGACATAACATCATATGGAATATCTTAGTGGTAAAATATACACCAGGTGATCTGTCCTAGTTCTGTTTCCCTCTCAGAGAGGGTAATAAACCCATTACACTCCCATTTCCGAGGAGAGAGAGAAAAAAACCCTCAAAACTCATCACCCCTCCCCACAGTTTTCAGAGGGCCATCAGCTTGGAATGTGGATCTGCTGGTTATTTCTTTTGTGTGGGTCAATCATCCAAGGCAAAACTACCCTCCCCTGCTCGACATCCCCCCTTTACAGCAATGCAGAGGAAAGAAAAGTTCCCTGCCTGTTTTTGTGGAACAAGTAAACCTATGACAGTAGGTCACTCCATCCCTGCTTTTCCTTTGAAGTGGTGTGGCAAGATGGAACTGCTACTCATCCTTACAGAGGAGTATCAAGCTTACATCCTTACAGAGGAGTAACAAGGAGGGATTCCCCTGCCCTCTTCCTTTTAAAAACCAGCTGTCAAGTGGACTGAAAATCTTCCTTTAATTGTCTGGACAGTCTGCTAAACAGCAGCAGTCTGCTGCTGGTGTGCAACAAATGGAGTTGGATTTTTTTTGCAGCCTGTCTCAACAAATCCATGCTTGTTTTGCTTTAAGAGCCCAGCATTTTCCCTGCTACCAGCTTGTCTCTGCTTCAACTATACACTTTCCTGTCTTTTAATGCAACACCTTATGAATCTCTGTCCTTTTTCCTTCAAAATGCGGATAAAATTGCAACCTGATCCTTTAATTATCAAGTTGGAGCTGGGTAACGCTCTTCTGGTCATTCTATGACAATATCTCTAGGACTTCACAAATAATTTAGTAAATCAGACTCCACATTTCATCTATGTCCAGCCAGGTTTATTTGGTTGTTCTTTTCTTTTCAGATCAATATATGTATAAATGAGTTTATGTATAAAGCAGTTTATTACAGTGATCTGCTACCCAATGCTGAAGACAATGTGTCTGCCACCACTGAAGTTTATTCTGGAGGTGCAGTCTGCTTGTAGACTGTGTAGAAATTAGCATATTGAAGACAGAAACTCGGCTGAGATTTCCATTTACTGCCATCAGAGAAAACATCATATAAATAGCTGAAATGATGTCACTTTAAAAAGGTACACAAAACAACAGTTGAAAACATTGAAAAATAACTTGCAATATGACGAAATATGTTACTACACAATAGTGAAATATAAGGAAGCACAGGCACTGTTTTCGATAAAAGGAACTGGAAGTACCTTAGCTATATAGTTTCCAGATTTTATCATGTCAGGTTTACTTGCTTTGGCTCTAGCTACCTCTTCTGAACAAAACAAAAAAAACCCCAATCCACCAACCAACCAAAAAAAACACAAAACCCACCCAAATCTGCATAATACCACAACAAATTATATATAATATTAAAATAAAAACTATATATATATATACATGTATATATATGTATAGCTGTTGGGAACAAAAACTGTTGTTGTTCCCAGAGTGCCCTTCGGGACTTCAGAAAGCACTGGTATATGGTCAGTGCAGTATCTTGTGTTCAGTTTGAAAACAAGGAATATTTTTTCAAACTTTAAAACACACAGAAAACCACCTGGGGAAAAAGCATAATTTGTGAGCAAACATGAAACCTTTGAAGTCTTTGTGCTCCCTCTTGCATTTGGAAATATTGGTGCTATGCATGTACTGCAAATGTGTTGCCAGCTGTCAGAGACACCCGATACGCGGCATGCCGTGATCTACATACTTCTTCGTATATGTGGCCTGAAATAGGGGTGAAGGAAAGCAGAAGAGAAACACAGTGACCCAAGGGATCAGATTTTAAGCTTTTGGCTTAGGAGAACGTGTTTACACACCAAAATTAGACAATTTTATTCTGCAGAAGTCAGAAGAGTATGAGTAGCTTGTGCTATCCCTGGTGCATGATTTAAGAGGTGCTCACCTTGTAATAGTTTATCCCCTCACAGCAGAATAAGCTGTAGCAGTTTTAGTCTGTCCATAAATGGTGTGTGCGAGGAATTGCACCATGTAGCTCTACTGGAAAAGAAATTGTAACCCTACCACCTCCCATTCTTCTCATGTTGGTATAGCTATATGTTGATCAAGACTTAAGAGGGACAGCAATTTGCCAGGGCTGAGAGTGACCGTGCAGATAACAGAGAAAAGCAAAACAGTCATGGAAGAAAAAACTGAAAATATATCAAAAAGCATCACGATTGACTCAGGTCTTAATAGTTAATACATAAAACATGCCAATACTTTAAATGAAGGCAGATATTACTCAGTTAAGCAGCAGTCATGAAATCTTTTTCTAATTCAGGAAGTGCTTAAAACTGATCAGGGAATTGGAGTGTTTTTTTATGGTTTAGTGACTGAAAATGATGATACAAATGAAACCACTGAGCAAGAAAGTTCATTTCAGGTTAATGTACAAACACAGCTCAAAAAACTCAGGGCTCCATTATCTTATAAAAGTAATCACAGCATTCATCTCTACCTGATGCAGCATGCTTTTCTACTTAAACAGCCTTACAGATGATGAGCATAGCTATAATTTTTCAATAATGGAGTCACTGTTCACAAATTTAAACACAACTGTAAAAAAATCAGTTCAGGAAATACATACTTTTCAGAACTTGTAAGAAGAGGAAAGTCATTAATTAGAAACACAGAACAGTCCATCCTGCCATCAGAGCTCAATGTTTGTCACTCAAGGTACGTCCTTGTCACACTTCTGTTCACTCAAGGGCACATTTCATTTAAGAGGGAGAAGAAACGATAGACAGGAAATCGCAATTTTCTCTTTTAAAAAAATTCTTCGTTCACTGCTAAACACATCTAGACGAAATACAGGGTGAAAAACTCTTCATTTTTACTGATCCAAACAGCATCATACAAAAACAGCCAGACAGAAGGTAGGGGCAAGATCTGTCCTCACCTGCACAGCCCTCATTGCCCTGGGCATGTTCCAGCTCGCTGTGGCAACATAACTGCAAAAAACCCTTTCCTCCACTGACTACAGTTGTGGCCACATCAACTTCTAAATGCATTTAAAGCAGCCCATTTTTATATCAGTAGAAATGTCTGGTTGTCATGGAAGGGCATTTGATGCAAAGGCAACATCCACTCCTCCAAGCACGCAGTCCCCGGCAGCCTCCCAGCCAGGGGTGCAGAGCCGCTCACGCGCAGAATGCTTGGCCCAAACAACGGCAGTGTCTCATGCACACAGGCCCGATTTCAGGTCTCCCCTGTTGTCCTTGCCATCCTAAACCATCTTTTTTTTTTTAACCCCATCTTTTTCCATTCCAAGTGCCAAAAAAAAAAAAAAAAAAAAAAAAAAGGTAAGGACAGTGTTATTGTAACATGATGCTGAGGGCTTGTGCTGTACACAATGAGGGCATGTAGGGGTTGAGATGATGTTGGGATAGCAGTGGAGGGCTGGGAAGAGAGAGAGAACAAGGAGCCAAATCGAGTGCAGTCTCTACTGCCATCTGGAACAGCAACTGAGGTAGAGCCTCCAGACACATCCAAGTTTTCTCCTACAGAGAAACAGCTGCTTTGATCCAAAAGACAAGCTGGGACTGAAGCAACATGTGTGCAGTGTGCACGACTGGGCACAGCCACAGGAATGAAGCAGAAATCTAAGGCAGATGCACCCGATGGTAGACCCCCCACAAATCCGTAGTGGGGGGACAAACTTGAAGACAGCAATGTAATGGAAACTGAACCTGGAAAAATTCAAACCAAAGTGAGAGAAACATGGTAAGGGCAGAATTAATTACTCATGGGAAATGATATATTCATTGTAACTGTAACTGGTTCAATATTATTGAGTTCCTTCTAAGAGTAACGCAGTGGAGTGATGGGCACAGGATAACAGTTTGTGACAGAACTAAGGTAAACACCTGCCACTGAAGCAGCCCTAAAAACCAATTATTTAACTACATAGGTTTGCATCTGTCTTCCATAAAATTTTATTAGCTTTATGTGACACTAAATAACTTAAGAATGCCTCCACATTTGAGAGAAATTCTAATCTATCACCATTCAAAAAAAGGACATTCTGTTTTTCTCTGAAAATCCCCTCTGCCAACATGCTAATCATATTATTGCTGATCCACGAGAGGTGAGGGGGTGGAGTAACCTAATACAATGAGAGAAACAAGAACCAGTGAGTATAACACAAGGCACAGACATGCATTCTCATAAGCCTCATTTCACATTCAATATAACTGCTCTGTTATACTGACAGTTTAAATCATGACAATGAAACTGAAGACTCCTACTGACGGTAATATAACTATCCAGCACTTTCTTCATTTCTTTGAGCAGCTTGAATACATTCAAAGTAATAAATAAAAATGTTTGTGGTTGGTGAGCCAATGTAAGGTTGCAGATAATTATTTATTATTTTTTTTAAATAACATTTCTTTCCAACCTTCAAACAAGCTAATGTTCCAATCCACTTGGATGCATAGGGGAATCAGGTTCTAAAACATTCCCGTAAGTGAGATTAAGGCCCAAATGAGCCCACATGCTGGATCCCAAAATGACAACTTAACTTTATTTTGTAACACAAAGGAGCAGAGAGAAAGAAGGGACATATAAAAGTAAGAAAAGCTAAGGGTAACTGTTAAAAGCACAGGACAGGAGTTACCACCACCATGAAGCGCCACTGGCTTGCAAGCTGGTAGATCTCCATTGGGCTTCTACCATGGTTGCCTTGTAGCCTCCGAGAAACAAGCTGAACTGGCAGGGTAACAGAGTGGCAGCAGCTCCTGCAGCAGTCCTCAAACACCCCCCCGGAGTCACCGAGCACAGCCTTAAATACTCTCGCCGTGCTAGCCCCTGGATGTCCATCGGCCAGTTCACCAGTATACGAGCAAAGTTCGCCTGGTACCGAGATGGGCCCTGAGTATCCATTGGCCGGTTCCCCCAGTCTCCACGCAAGATCTGCCTGGCTTACCTTATATGGGAGAGTAAGTCCTTGCCATGTTCTTGATTGTAACAACTTTTTATCTTTTTTGCTCATCTACCTGCTTCTGATGGCTTGCTAGGTGCCTCCTGGAGCTTTTGCAAGTAGCTCAGCTCCCACAGCAGCCTAGCTGTGGCATCAAGGCTTTTTAGCTCCAGGCTCGAGACAATGGCAAAGCAGACTCCATCTTTTAATCACTTTACTACAGCTTTCAATTAGGCTGGGTTACTAGAGATCAGAAAAAATTAGGATGTTGTAAAATCTTTCAAATATTTAATCCTTTTCCAGAACAATTCAAATCCTGTGAGACCTCCTTGTATGTCTTCTAGTGCTCACTTGAGCAGTAGTAGCCTTTTATCAAGTATGGAATGCAACGAGCTGTCCCCTATTGCCAAGATTTTCCTTCCCTACAGTACTGCAGGATCAAAGCACAAAGCTCAGAAAAGAAATATTTAGCTAGCAAACTAGTTCTTTGTCTAATTAAAATGCTTGAAGCCCACATGTGTTAAACCCCAGTTTTCTACATAATGACCTTTCTCTCCAGTAACATTCAATGATGAACACTTCTATGAATATATAACTCCCATCTTGTCTACACAAGGGCACTCATACACCCCTGCTTCTGTCCAAGCATCTGCACGAAGTACCACAGGGTTCAGCCAGCACATTTACTTCAAACAACTCCTTCAAGGTGTCCCTCAACAGCTTGCTTTTGGTGAGTAAGGCAACCCATCCACCTTCTAATTCTGCTTTTTCTGCTGTGGCTTTAGCTAGATTTTCTGATAACCAGGTGGTCTTTGTCTAACAAACAGCAGGTCACCAACTGAGGAGCTGCAGACACAAAGCGAGGTATGGCAGGTAATTACTAGACAAGCTCAAAGTCTTACTATGATACGAGCCAATTTTATCTGCATATGAGAAACCACAGCTGGATCAATGGTTGCTTTAATAACAGAATTCAGCCCTTTGTACATTTTTTTCTACAGAAACAACATATTTATGAACCGAAGTCCACTATTAAAAAAACCCCAAATCAACAACCCCATCCTTAAAGCTACTCCACTGTGTATTGTCAGGCCGCACATTCACAAAAACACTGTAGTCTCTTTTCCCTTTGCCTGTCACCCAGGCCTGTCACCCAGGCTACCACTCTTTGATGTCAGCTTTAATACAACCAGACTGCTTTGAAAAGTGTAGTATGAGAAAGAGCTGTAAGACATCTTATCAGGGGCCTCTGCACTTGGCTCAAGAGTTGCATTTGAGCTCAGGTCCCTGCTATCAGTCCTTGCCTGAGTTGCATTTACAGATATGGCTGTGCCTGGCTATATCCTTTGCTGATCCTGTGATTGCTTTCTGATTTGAATTTGCGGCTTGGGCTCACGCCTGTCTCATCATTACAGCCGCTTCTGTGTAATTTTGTACTTTGTCATTCAACAAGCAGTGGAATCAGTGAATCCTGGTCTATTACGGATTCACATACACTACAATTACTCTCCTCCACCCCTTACATCCTTCACTCAAAAAAACAGCAGGGCTGCTCTCACTGTGTCTACAAGAGCTCACTTATACTAAAAGCCTGAACTCCCAACCCACATTACCTCCCCATCTCCACCATACCTCCGAATCTCTGACAATGTGAACATTAGTTTTCTGAGCTTCCTACTCTGCTGAAAGGAGTTAATGGAAAGTCATGACCAAAGCAGATGGACCTGTGATAGAGGCTACTTCTGGCCATTTACTGAAGAAATCCATTAATACAACAACAATGGCAAATGAGTAACAAAGTCTATAGTGTTGACTGTCAGCTTTTCAAATAAAAAGCTAGTCTGGCATCAGCCTGTACCAACTCATGCTTGTTTTGTCAAGCAAGAGAAACTTTTGGAGCAGCTTGAGCATCCAACCCTGACTACCGATGGAGAACTTATAATCACTGTTATGACAACTCACTGATGTGCACCACGAGCAAAGTGTATTGATTTTGTCTCTAATTCCTCCAGAATAATACATTTATGAGTTATTCTCCTGTCTTGCAGAGAAAGTTCAGTCCAGTTGAAAGTATAGCAGAGATAAATTATATTTGTTATTACTATTAGTCTATTTTGCTGTCAGTATGCCATGTAATTTCTGCTCAACAACACAGACTAAACAAGTAGCTTTATATTATTCTTCTGAAACAGCAGCAAAAACTTACTCAATTTGTTCAACTGCTTCCATTGTAGAAGACAGTATCCAGGGTATTTAGGAAAGAAAAAAATGACCAAAACAAGCAGTCAAACATTACATTTTCATCTCCTGATTTGTTTTCTATGACACATACAAAGAAAATCACACTACTTCACACTTCTCTGAGTCTTTTCAGTGTTGACTGTACAGTAACAGGCAAGGAACGTGATCCAGCAGAAGCTGAGTTTATGGCCAAAAGACAGGGTGTCGCTCTTCCTATTACGCATGTGCATGCCAGTATTTCTTCTCCAAGGGTGAAGTACTTTTCTCTTGGCTTCTGTAACTGTTCTTGAAGAGCCCATAATGGTCTTCTCAGAGTTGATGTCATGTATTTGTGTAAATGTGGCTACAAAACACTGTCTCCAGGTATTTTTACATCATTCAGCAAAAATAAAGTAGCATTACATTATAAACTCTGGTCACCTGTAACTATGGTTTTCACCAATTCAAGATGAAGCTGTGCTTCATTTGTTCGGACACACTTTAGATTTCATGCTTTAAACAGTTTTATGGATGAAACATAGTTTGGACCGAAGTTTTCTTATTGTGATATAAGAATTAAGGATGATTAAAATACTTGTAATTATCTTAGTGATGGGGCTTGCATAATTATAGCAGCTTATTCTGCACCCTGGTTCAATTCCACTGGAGAACGCAAGTTGCCCTGAAAAGACAATTCTATCTGAAGCAGCATTTGAAAAAGTGAAATTTCAATTCTGCTAAGCTGATATACTGTAGTATGTCCTGTAAATGTTCTTCTTGTTTCACAATTCATCAGCTAACACTGGACTTCAGGCTGTTTATTAAAAACACTAATCATTAGTTCATTTAAAAGCATTAGATTCAGTTTCAAATATATGGCATATGTTTGAGAAACAAACATGACCCATTGAGTATCATTTGAGGGCTCTGAGTGCTCTGTTAATTTGAAAAACACACTGTAAATCAAGATTTAAAAACATCTTTGCACCCTGAACACTTGCATTAATCCTGTGTATGGACAGAGTTGGCTTGCAATCATTACAACGCTTATTTAGCCTTTCTAGAACTAACCAAAGAAAACATTGTCTTTCTTCCTTGACAAAAGAGTGGAAGCATCCACTCAGGAGATGTGATTTATTTGACAGAAATGTTCACAGCAGATATTTAAGTTCTCACAATGGCTCATTCCTACAGAGATTGACAGCTGAGTTTATTGCCTGGTTATCACACGAAGTCAAATTCTAACAATGACTAATGCTTTGCACAGCTGTAACTGCTCTCTGAACTACCTCATGTAACCGATTAAACTTGAATCAATGTTATGGGAGTGTTCTACAATGTGGAAGCATTTTTGCTTGTTCAATGCAGCCAACAAACTTGCCCCCTGTAGGAGTATACGCATCAGGAACTCCAGCAGTATGAGTCAAAAATCATATTTCCATGCAGCCAGGCAAGCACAGGATTCGTTTCCTCAGGTGGTTTATGAGATACAGTCTTGACTAAGTGACCATCTTCTAAAGCATTGATTTGAACAGTACAGAGACTCTGGTGCACACAGCCAACATTAAATGTATCAGCTTATAGCCACCTTCTGAATGCAGCAGAAACAATAACAGCATCGCTCACTCCCAGCATGCTGTACTCGGGATTTCCAGCTACATCAAAACACTACTCCTGCTGTTCATGCAGTCTTTATTAAAGTGTCCAAGCAGCTCGGAGTGTGCAAGCAAGCCCTTCTCCAGGCCACACAGTGCAGGCTGCATGGGCTTCCACAGCCTCGCTGAACCGGGAGTTTGACGACCTCCGGCTGTTTTCAGTGTCCACAGCCAAGGTCTTTTCTCTCTCAGGCTATCTGAAGGGCACCCTCTTCTGTCCAGCACCCAAACTGCAGCACCACAGTCATTTTCACAGATGTTTCTTGATTCTGTAAATGAAAATTGCAGTATTGAAGTTTCTCTGTGAGATTAGTAATACCATGATCCAGCCTGCTCCATGATAGATAGAGGACTGTTCTGCATATGTTAATGAAGACAACAGGTGTAAAGGAAAATTAAAATATTACATGGAAAGCAGGAAAACTTACAATGGGTAGGATTAATAGAACTGTTTTTCCAGCAGAGATGCAGGCACCTCAGTTATAAGGAGTACGATGAACGTTATTCACTGCATAATTCTCTGAAGAGCTACCCTTGCCGAGTAAATGTAAGAAGCTTACTGTTTTTTTCTGGGTGGATTGTCTCAAACTCCAAGTTTTCATTACAACAATCCAGGACTAGGAATTGGTGCCATGTCTGCTTCAGAAAGAGGTTGTTTCACTTGGATTTGTCAAAGTTTTAGGGAGGCAGTGCCTGTCCCAGTTCATACCCATCCCTACAGGTATGTATTTATTTAACTGAAACAAAAGAAACCTTCTCCCTCTCTTGTTCAACATCTTCCTTTTACAGCGATGCAGGGGAAAGAAAAAAATTCCCCCTTTTTTTTTAGAACAAGGAAACCTGTGACACATGGTCACAGCAAAATACTTTACAGGCTTTAGGAATTCAAGATTTCATAATATATTTGAAGGTAATAAGAGACACACTGCCTGTATCAATAAGAGATGCACTGCCATACAAATGCATAACTAAGCACTGACCTCACTGAATTTTTACCATACTTCATTGTCATATCCTGTGTAATTTTAGACCAGAAGAATATTTACTTGGATGGGGTATAAAATAGGGTGTATCTCTTTTGATCCTGCAATTTTTCATTTTATTACAGCCACCAAATCATGCAGTTAGATACAGATTTATCTGGTGGATAAAAGAAAAGATCCCTGTGTTTTCCACAATTATGAGAATTTAAGCATTGACATTAAATCTATTTTCTTTTGCACAATTTGTCTTCAGAGAAGCAGCTAAAAAAAAGACTTCAAAATAAAACCAGAATTTTAGAATCAGTAATTCTATCCTTACGTTTGCAGAGAAAATTTCTACAATGTGGAAACATTCTTTAAAAATATTAAAGGCAGCAATTGGTAAAAATGTGTACTGTAGCTAAAGAACTAGCATATATGAGTCTCCTTGCTATCAGAGCTTGTATACACCAGATTGCCCCCCTAACCCTGGTAAATACAGTTGAGGAGCTTGAACGAATTTGCCGCACTAAATTGCATGTATGAGTGACACCTGTGGGATGCTGGAGAAGATGAATGTTCCTTCCCTTATGAATTTGCTCCTGCTTACATGGGGTACTGAACCCAGAGACACACCAGGGTATAGACTAGGAAAATCTGAATGCCCTTAATGAGAAGAATAATAAAATGGAATGAAGTGTGGTAGTGTAAATGCTCTGTCGTGCTGCTGGGGAGCAACAAGAAGAGTCTTCACAATGAGCTGAGAGCTGGAAATACAAGATAAGAGTCACAGAAAACTGAGGAAAAACTGTCAGCCACTGTGGGGCACTATGAGCCACTCAAACTATGAGGCAAAAAGGGCAATAGCTGTGAAAAGGTAAGTATCACAAAGAATGCAAAGGAGACGTATTTCTGGTAAAGATACCTGAATATTGAATAATTCTGAATTCTCATCTCAAATGCTGTGTACTGTCTGTGTACTCTTCAGGAGAGATGAATTCACTTTGGACTGCAGCTACTTGGATGAACACACAGAACCCTCTCTGACGTGTGCAGTATGATTTAGTCTGCAAAAATAAAGGTTGACAGGTGTTACAATCTGCTTAAATACTGCAGAAAGAACTTTCAGATTCGAATATTCCCTTGAGCAAAATTAAAACTCATACAAGTAATTATAAGATTAGGCTGAAGTACAGAATTGCAATTCAGTTCCTTTCAGGACATACCCATTAGGATCAGAAAATGATGATAGAATTTAAGGTTATCTGGTTATGCCAAGAGTTATAGTTCTATAAATTACATTTCCTTGAGCAAAGCAGAGATCAGTCTTTGACTGCCGAAGCAAAAGAGAGCAACAGGTCAGCTGGGATATAGTGAACATCTATTTATGGTATGATTAACATTATGAATTTTCAGTACTACAGGAGATTAACAAGAATTATTTACATTTTCAGGTGTGGTGCATTTTGGCTATATTGTCTGATATTACTGTACACTGTAACCTGGCTGCCTACAGATATATTTTCATACTGTATTTTAAAATTTTTATACTTTGACAGCCATAGCTGAATCAATGCTGAGTTTTTGATCTCTTTTGGCAAAAGATCTTAGTTTTACTATGTATTTGTACTATTACTGCAGTGAGAAAGAGAAACAAAAAAGTCTTCTTTCCCTTTTCTGTTACTCTTGGGGGAATAAGTATTTAAAACAAACAAGTACACAGCTTTCCATAGTTCTCGTTTCCATCTTTAACATCTTTAACTCCTTAGTTCTGCTGGGGAAGTTGCACCGCAGAAACCAAACACGTTCATGGCTCGGCTTCGCGAACGAAGATTTGGGAAGGCTCTATCCACATTTGCTACAGGCACGCTGGTGGCTTATGAGGCCAATACGTGACAGACATATCCGATTGCAAAAGGCACAGCAGAAAGATTCCTTAGATGGTGTATTCTGCAATACACGGTTCTTTCTGCATTGCCTTTTTTCCTCGAGGGTGATCCTGTGTGTGTTCTCAAAGGAAGCAGCAGCGTTATAGATGGTGTGTCTCCAGGCCTCCCGATTTGAGGCCAGAGTAGACCAGTTATGGTGATCAATATGGCCAAGGCTGAGATGTTGTTTCAGGGAGTCCTTGTATCTTTTCTTCGGGGCTCCTCTCTTGCGGCAGCCTGTGGCAAGTTCACCGTAAAGCAAGATCTTAGGGAGGTGGTGGTCCTTCATCCTGGAGACGTGCCCTGCCCATCGCAGCTGTGTTCTCAGCAACATGGCCTCAATACCTGTGACTGCTGCTTGCTCAAGAACAGATGTATTGGTCACATAGTCTGACCAGTGGATGTTTAGGATTGTGTGGAGGCAGCGTTGATGGAAGCGTTCTAAGAGACGCAGGTGGTGGCGGTAGGTGACCCATGATTCGGAGCCATAGAAGAGAGTCGACAACACTATGGCTTTGTAAACACTGATCTTGGTGCTTTTCTTCAAGTGTTTATTAAGCCATACTCTTTTGTGGAGTTTTCCAAAAGCACTATATGCCTTTGCTAATCTGTTGTCTATCTCTCCGTCGATCAACCAAACAGGTAAGTGGTTGAGAAAAGAAAGCAGAATCTCTCTCTTTAGTCCTTCTAATCACTTGTAGATAACTTAAAGCTAGAAGTGTGTTCACACAATAGAGATAATTTGTTGCCTAACAACCGAGTGACTTAAACCACCTCCAGCAGTTTCTCAGAAACGACAAAAACCAAAACCGACAACTTTGCAATAAGTTAATTTCCTACTGCGATAATATTGATTATAATTTTGGAAAAAGAGAGAAAACAAAACAAAATCTTTAATTTTATCCCAAGTGCAAGAAATGTATGGTCTGTATTGAAATGACCTGAAATGCACCTGATGTTGTAATTAGTATGACTAACAATACCTTTAATATGCCTTCAAGTAATCCTTATTCATTTAGTTATACCACAAATCAAAAAGTATTCATTCTCAATCTATCATTAGTAATTCTCATGAATAAGAGGAGCCAATCTGTGGCTCCAGTGAGCCTAGCCCAAGACTGAGAAGATGATGCAGAAAACAGTAAATTCGAGAAACTGTTCTAATTGCTTTTGTCATCTTTGTATTAATCAGAACAATAACTACAGCCAGGCATTAGCCATTCAATGCAGGCCATGCATCTTGAAGAACAAAATGCATTGGTTCTTATTCTTTCTTGTATAGCAGGCCTCTTGCCCTAATAGATCCCTGAATCTACTATTCCAAAGTTAAGCCTTTGGAATACAGGTAGCCTTTTTTTCCTGAGAAAAGCTCTTGGCTTTTAACAACTTCTCATATCAAAAGTCTTACTGATCTCCAAATCGTCATCTACCAGAATTGACAGCTTATGACAAAGATTTGGGCAGCTTCTCAATTAACAAGGAATCAGCATTACAATTAGATAGTTATTTTTCTTTTAAAAGACTTTCATAGTCTTACTATTGACCTGTCCTGGGGTGTTGGCTGAGATCACAGTATAATGACTCGGTTCAGGACTCCTCTGATCTCTATCAAAGCCTGAAAATACTATTATTAAAATATTTCATCATCAGAACTTTTTAATCTTTTCATAATTCCCGAGTGGATAAGGTTATTGCAGTGTAAAGCCATTGACATCAATATAAATAAAACTCTCTTAGTAGGCAAAGTTCCCTGTAAAACTATCCAGTGACTTCTAGTCATTTGAATTTTATGAGACAGAATGAGGAAAATAAATTAGCTAAAGCACAATTTGATTCCAAATGAAAATAAAACTTAACACTGTAACAGTTGAAAAGAACACAAATATTGAGTAACTGGTACAACAGATTAAAATTATTAATCTTTCCCATGCAGTATATATATATATGAGCTAGAAAAATATAAATGCTTCAATTATTATACTACAGAATTCTTCTGTCTCCACCCCTTCATCTTCAAGTACTTTGTTAAAAAACTGAAGAAGCACAAAAAGGTGGATTTTTAATTCAGTATTCTTTTGTTTTGATTCCTGTAGTATCACATGGTAGAAAACACGCAGATAGCGATCTTTTTTTCAGCCACATTAGTACTGATCAAAGTAATGTACTTTCACCGAAGTCAGTGAAATTGTAAAGGTTTTAAGGCTTGATTTGCTGACAAAAGGAGTAACTCCAGTATCCAGATGCATAACTTCTAACTCAGGTAAGTCTCCCATTAAATTAAGGGAAAAAATAACCCAGCTAAAGTATAGAAAATCAGGCCCATAATCATGATGCCAAACAAAAGGTTAAAGTTCAGACTTTGTGCTATGAAGTAACCTTATATGAAGGATAAAGGCTTTAAAACCCCCATCAGAGATGTCTTTGGACAGCCCAAGGCTCTTGTGTGGGTCCTGCAACAATACAGCCATTTTTCTCTCCCTGAATATGTTAAAGAAACAAAGGGCAAGATGAGCCTACACTTCTCTGTCCTTTCTTTGGCACAGTTAAGAACGGGCACCAGGGCTGCTTTTGTTCTCCTTCCTGATTTCTGCTCTAGTACAGAAGTAGAACAGCAAAAATCTTGTCAGAAGACTATCAACTGTAGTTTTTCTGTAATTTTTGAGCAATCTACTCTGCAAGTAAAAGTACAAATGCAGCTGTAAACAGAGCTGTTCATACTTTCACACACACACTCCACTCCTGCGATCTTAGCAAACAGTACAGTGTAAACAATCCCTGAGCTTGCCTCCAAATCCAAAATGGAGCTACCTTAAATTAGACCTTGACCTTAAATTTTTTTCTTCTTAAATAATTTCAGAAAATAGGATTCTTCTGCTTCTGATAGACCACCCATCAGTTTTCAACTTGTTAGCCACGTAGACTGGAGTTCTGAAAAATAATTGTTCCTCTACTTAGATCACATAAGTTAAAAACACACTCTTAATTTAATGAAGATGGACAAATTTACTCAGCTTAATGGTTAAATATGAACTGTTCTAGATAGGAAATTAATTAAAACTGGAACAACTATTCCATCTATGGTTCCTCAGTATTAGAATATCGCTCAATGAAATCAAAGCGCTCCCAGCATAGACACGCTGGATTTGTACCACTGCATAATTCCTGGAAGGAATATAATAATAAGAATAGCTTTTCTAAATGAGAGGAACAGATGTTATGACAGAAACGTCCAGTGTAGACATCTGTTATAAAAATGAGGTGCTTCAGCTTAATCATTTAAAAACAGTGGTAAAACACATTGAGTACTTTAAAGTCAGATCAATATGTTTAAACGATAACAGAAATAAAAATTTGTTCTGTTTCAGTAAATTGCAAATAGTGAGAAGTCCTTGTCTAAAGGACTAAAGGTAAATTAAAGTAGAACTACCAGAATTTAATTAACACTGAAGAAACTTAAATTTTTCCATGGACTACTCACCATTGGTTACAAACATACACTCCATAGTGAGTATAAATAATTGTTATTTATGAAGCAGTGTAGTAGCATGACCATCCTATAAAATGAAACAGGTCACTCGCTAATTTCTTAAAGGATAAAAATATTTTTAGAAACAAACAAAAAAAAAACCTTAAAAGTTAAGCACCTCTCAATTCAAAATTCTCAAGCCATTTACGGATGAGTAAAAAAAGAAAGACAAACATAGAAGCCCTCTAGCTCTCTTAACACAGTCAAAAAAAATTCCTGTATCTTCTGTTCTCCTTGTGCAGATATATTCCACAACTTGTAGTGCAGCGTTTGCTGTAGGGAGGAATCGTTAACTTTGCACAACTGCCCTCGAGGTATTAAGTCTCGTACACTCAGAATAACTATGCTTGTGTCTGAGCCTCCAAGACAATACCAGTACATTTAGTCAGCACTGTTTCTCACAGTTCACCTTCACATTGCTTACAGTCGGTAATAATGTAAATGAAGGAAGACTGAGATAAGGCCAGACCTGTCCACTTCAAGTCTTTTCAGACAAATGCATATTACTTTTTAAAACAGAAATAAATAATGTATTAGGTAACAAGCTGGCTTTCTCTTGCTTCCCTGTATAACTACTATCATTTAGAATACTTAATATGGAATACCTAACTCTCCCAAACTAATGCTATATTTGTAGTCCCACTCCACAGCACTACAATGAAAGGGGCAAACATCACGTGAAATGCGCAAATGGACCTGTACTGTCAAAGAAGTAACAAGCTGATATACCAGGAACACTGCCAGAGAACTTATTTCAGTTCGTGTCATAGAAGCCCACCTGGGACTCTAGTTACTCATATGGATACATCTAGATCCAGCACATTCCAGCAAAGACACTGCAAATGAAACTCACTCAAAAGTTAATTAAGGCTTTTATGCACATGGAACTGTTCCTAATTAATTCCATATGAGGCCATTCTTAATACAGAAGTGCCACATTCCATTTTAGTTAAAACAAACTGGTTTGTTCAGGAATGAGTTGCCCATAAATAGAATTAATCAAAATAATTTGTAGACTATTTTAATTACCTGTGACAAAACAGGATTAAAAACACCTAACCAATAGGCTTTAATTCCTAGATTTAGAGATCTGTCTGTAGGGATCTCCCTGTAAAAGCACCTTACATTAAAAATGTGATAAAAATATTAATTAGCAATATTTTGACTTTTTAAAACAGGTATAGAAAAAAATCAAAGAAAATACATCATTGTGAAAAGACACAAGTTTCAAGTTTCTGAAGAATGCCTTTTAGTTTTCAGGCCTTGTAAATGCCTCCATCCTCTCACTTCATAAAAAACTCGATTTGAGAAGGATTTGTAAAATCACATTGCTCTCAAATCAAGTGCACTTAGCAGGGAGTTAATGACTTCAGGCTTAATGAGTACAAACACTGCAACAGAAAAAACCATGGTATAATACCAGAAACTATCTGAACATATTTGTTGGCTTCCTCTGGCAAAAGAATGTTTAGGAGGCTATTGTCCTTCCTACAAGATTCTAATTGCTTTAGAAAAGAGCCTTAGATATGAAGTTTGCAAAAGATTTTGTAGGATTTACTTACACAACAAGAATTTTAATATGCCTGTGATACAGACTGAATGCAACTTTTTTTTTTTGGCGGTATATTCATCTTAGCTCTGAGTTCCACTACAAATGCAGTTATACTAAGCAAAACATTTGCATAATAATACCTATTTCAGCAAATGGGCCTTTCCAGCTATTTGCCCTGCAGACATTAACTGTGTTTAAGTCGTTAGACTTTGTCAGATATAACCAGTACCTTATCAGCAAATCTGCCAATTGTGGACAGTCATATGCAAATAATCCTCGACCATCAGGAAAGGGGGGCAGAGGTCCGTCTGTAGTTGTTTAATGGCTTGCGAATAGCTCAACGTGCTGTTAACTCTCTGTAACTCTCCGACAGCTAGCTAGAAGTATTACTATTCCACTCTTGACTGTTTAACGCTTTGTGCAAGAAAGGAGAACACGAAGCAGAAACGTAGTATTTACTGTAAATTTTTAATTCTGCTACCGATCTCATGAGGTGATAAGTACCTCTTCCTTCTCACTTCAGTCTGAACAGCAATATTGATAAAACAAAGACAATAATTTCCTACTCCGCTCCCCCCACCCCTTTTGAGATTTGTGTATTGGCAGCAGAAGATAAATTACCCTCTCCTTTATTTTAAGCAACAGATGTTCTATAATTTTAGAAGCTAATACCAGTTAAGGAAAAACAGGACACAAACCTGACCCAAACCCACCCCACAGAAGCTCAGAAGGACAGCTTCACAGAACTAGAAGAATCTATAATGCCTTGTTAAGGGTTGCTTTTCTATAGCAACTACACTGTTCTGCTTTTGCGTTGGAATTACACTAGATTTGCTAAAAGAGGACAACATTCACCATAATTTCCACAGCCAAAGGTAAAGAATTCTTTATCTTGGACCAGCATTCATATTATCACTTTCAGGACAGCTATCTTCCATTTAATAGCAAACAAGAAATCCTTCCGAATAGTTGCAGTTAAGGCCATAAAAGAGGAGTAAGAAAGTAAAGTACACATTCAATCCACCCCGAATCTGGCTTCTGCTCTATTTTGGACAATTAAGAGTAGGTTTAGTTTCAGGATTTATTAAAAGGAGAAATACTCCCTTTGCACTTAAGAAATAGTGATACTAACTTGTTGTCACTCCTAAGGTCAAATATTATTCCATTTTTTAAAAGTAAATACTATGTATTATTTTCCCCTCATTGTTGGGAGTCCATTTTCAAAATCTCAGCCATTGCAAATAAAAATATAGATCTTATAAAGTATTGCAGAATATGTCTTTTATTTAAGTAAGGAGGCATTAGGTGCAGGAAAGTCAACAATTACCTTTAGATAATACTGCAATCCCAGCAGCTTTAACAAAATCTCTCCTACAGTTAACATAAATACAACTTTTGTGATCAGGGCTTTGTTACTGCTATTACCTAAACCAACTCTGGGTCCAGGTATATCTAGTGCAGCAGATTACTTTTAATATGTGATTACTCATGTCACTTGGTGCACTGTTAAAAAAAACCCCATAACAAGAAACAAAATTCCATCGGAAAAAAACAGCTTACATGTTAGATACGTTCCAGTTTGTCAATTTAGCCTTCTACTTTCATTTTTCATCCTAAAAAAGGATCATTCTTATGCTTTTGCCATTAAAAAACCCTGCATAAATAAAACATTTTACTAACCTAGCTCGGTTAGACGTTGGGTTAATTTTGTCAAGACATCCATAAGTTTCCCCTCTCTGTGGAACTTTCAAAAATCAGAATCTGTTCTAAACATCTGACACCAGTGGCAAAAAACTATTTAAAAATTATTTCCAAACCCTGTCGTCTTATTGTAGAACCAGAGAGTTTCCTTCTGGAAAGGTCTTCAGCCACTGGTGATGAAACAGTAAGCTGCTTTTCAGTACAGGCCGTCACACCATGGAAACAGATTGCTCTAGAATAGCTATATAACATTGGAAACAGATTGCTCTAGAATAGCTATATAACATTGGTTCATGAAAACAGCGACGAGAAAGCTACAGCTTCTGTCTGAAAAGCTTTGTCTCAAAGGTTCTTCAACAACACACCAGTGCCACAAACCAAGTTTAGAGCGAGTTCTCGTCAAAAATGCCAAGAGCTGCTGCCATCACACGCACTCAGCAGCAACATCCCGCACAACAATGCCGCAAATAACAGGCCTCACCTCATTTCCCAACGAAGAGAAACCACGTTTTCCTCGTCCCTTTGTCTCCAGTCGTTTGAAGCATGTCGGGAAAGGGTGTATCTGGGCATAGGTACGGGAGCAGCTGTATCTGGGCGGATGTATCTGGGCAGATGTATATGGGCAGCTACACGAGGGAGCTCCATGAGGGGCGGAGAGAACGAATGTGAGAAAGCCACCCCGGTTGGTGTAAGCCTCTTCCCCGCCCCTTTCCACTTGGGGCTACTTAACAAGGCGACCGCAGGGGGGTCTCCGTTTCACTCACAGGTGACATTGAGGATCTGGCTAAGGTGTCCCCAGTTTTTCTCAAAAAATATAATTTTGCTTTTGTTTTAAAAGCCTCATTTTTTGGTGTGTGGGCGCAGCCTCGGCTTTGGTGAATGATGGTAGGTGGAGGGAAGAGAAAGGGGCGCCGTCCCGGGACAGAGGGTACTGGGGTGCTGGGAGGTAATGCGAGGCGCATGAACGCGGAGCCGCCGGGAAGAAATTTTTTACAGAGAGGGTAATCAGGCGGGGTTATGTTGCCTTATAGCGCTGTGACGGGGAGGAGCCCCTGAGGGCTACTAGCATTTAAAACACCTTGAAGGTTTTAAAATCTAACGAGATGAGGGGTTAAGGTTATGGAGGGAATGCCGCGAGTGAAAAGCCACGGAGTTGTGCGAGGGAAGCTGGGGGTCAGCCTTACGGTCTGGCGAGGGCTTGGCGACGGACCGGTCTTCACACCATGAGCGGCCATTTTATGGCGGCGGCGCCGCCATATGGACTCAGCTGCTCGCTGCCGTGGTGCTGCTGCCCTGCGCACGGCGCTTCGCCTGTCCCCGGGCGGCGTACCCCGCCGCGCTTAGGGTCGGCGGGAACCCTTGTCGGGGGCTTCTGAACAGCTTCCATTGTCCTCAGAGAGGATCTGAGGAGTGCGAAACCTCCTTCCCCGCGCCACGTCGGCGCTGGGCATCTGAGGTGCGAGGGCGTAAAATGGCGGCGGCACCACGGCCCCGCTCGCCCGAGGTTCCTCGTTTCGGCTTCCCTCACGCGCCAGATACAAACTCCGCCCTCGCCCAGTGCGCTGCGGGCGCCGTGAGGGGAGCGGGAGCAGCTGCCGTCGGAGCGCGCTCCGACAGCTCACTTCCTATTTGTTCTTAGTGTTTTGGGTTTTTTTTTTAATTTGAAAACCGAGACTTGCGACTGAAGCGTAGACGCTTCGAACAGTATACGAGTAAAGTGTTCTTCTTTTTTTTTTTTTTTTTTTTAAGCCTCTTTAGTATCAGCTGTTAGCGTGCAGTGCTGGGCTGAGGGCTCCGCTTAGTGCCCATCGGGAAGGCTGCGGTGGGAGCGCTGTCATGGAAACTGCGCAGCGGGACGGGAATCATAGGGTTTAAATGTTTAAAAAAAAAAAAAAAAAAAAAAGGGCAGGAAGTGTAATGCTTACTTTAAAAAAGGGCGTGTTGAGGCCGGCGGGAAGCCTGAGAAACTGGGGGCTTGTGCATTTGTGGCCAGAAGAAAAGGTTTTCGCTCCTAGATGAGCGTTAAATTGAGCGATGTTTGCAACCCATTTGAGCAGCCACCTGGCCCCAACAATAGTCGATTTTCACCTTTTCTTTTGCCAAAAGACTACTGTAATGAGGACGTTAGTCCAATTTCCAGGCATCAACTTAAACTTCATGCTTGCTGGAATAATGGAGAGAGCAAACTGACTAATTTTACCTTGTGATGAGAAAAGGAAAAAGATTTGTTAATTCCAGTAAGCTGAAATTTATTTTTGAATTGGCAAAAGTTCTGCATCAGAGTACTGAAGTCTTGAAAATTAGCTTTAAAGGAAGATTGTGTTTCTTGTGTTCATAGTGTGAGGCTCTCACCCCTGTGCATTTTTCATCTCTTTTTCGAGTTCTAAGAAACACTTCTATTAACAACTATTAAAGCTTATTTTTGATGCTTACCAAATTGTCAGAATGTCTAAGTAGCCTGTTCATTCTTTTTTTCAGCTATTTAATGTGTAAAAGGGTTAAATAAGTGTGTTATCCTTGAAGGTTCTGTTCTGCATCGTTAGCGAGATACGAATGCTCCTCTTCCATGGCAGCCAAGGGTGTGTATGACAGGTGTACCAGCAGTATCTGTGCACCAGCCTTGCTTCCTTGTGCTGGTTCTGCTTCTTGCTGGGTGGGTACTTCTGCTGAGAGCTGTTTCCTGTTCTAGGCTGCCAGAGAATTTGCACAGCAAAGTGAATACTACTTCTGTCGTGGTTTGCTGGAACAGATCTAGAAAGAAAGAAGCCAGCAGTTACGTCAGTTTGAGGTTGCAGTTCAAATGCCCTTTAGCTGGGTAGGCAGCCAAAGAAGTGGTCTTCTCGCTTTTTGCTTCATTTTTGTCGTTGATGTCTATGTGATATCTACAGGAAGCTGCAGGTATTCTGGTATCTTAAAGTCTAATAGATTGACTGTAATAAGTATTTTTGTTGATATTTTTCAGTCTGTAAATGTGGAGACCCAATGTGCAAGTGCCTCAGAGAGTAACACCTATTCATCAGCAGTCAGTCAAGGTTATGTTTTACCAGAAGGAAAAATCATGCCAAACACTGTCTTCGTTGGTGGAATTGATTTAAGGGTATTTATATATTCATATACTTTTAATTGTTTAAGATATGCACTTCAGTGGGAAGAAAATGGAAATTTAACTCCGGTTTTGTGGAGGGTTTTTTTGCATAGTGGTGGTGGAGTTTGTTTGTTTGGTTTTTTTTTCACGTGTGCATTTTGCCAGTCTTAAGGTATTGAAAAGCCATGGGAGAATTTTGGAACAGGTGTGCCAAAAGAAACCTTTAGTTCTTAAGCTAGTAGGAGATGGGCTTAAAAAGATGGTACTGTTTGCTTTAAGTCAGTTCTAAGCAGTTGGATGTGTTTGAAGAAGTTCAAGACTTCGTTTCCTTTTAGATGAAAGAGGCAGAAATTCGGACTGTCTTTGAACAATACGGTGCTGTGAAAGAGGTGAAAGTAATCACTGACAGAACTGGTGTTTCGAAAGGGTGAGTACAACATGAGTGGTTGTTTTAAATTGCTGCTTATGCATAATTCTGTCATAGGTTATATGAGCAGATACTTAGCAACACATTTTACATGCTTAAGCCATAGTGCTAGCTGTAGTTTTCTGTTTTGGTGAATTAACACTGTTAAACCAGTAAATCTGTATTGCCCTTGACTAAGCCTGTGTAATCTTACAAAGAACAGCCTGATTTTTGTGGCTTCAGTCTATCCGTTCAAGGAAAAGAGGGTTATTGTCCCTTAACCAGCGGAAGCAAAGCTTTAAACTTGTGTCATGCTTATGCAGACAATTCTTCTGCAGAGCTTTTCTGATGGTGAGAGTAGTTAAAAATCTAGAGAGAGTTCAGGATGGTTAAGAGAATCAAGATGGTTTATTCAGAGCAATGGGACTGCACTCTTCTGACACTTGGTGATAAGTTCTAGAGTAAAACAACCCAAACTCACTTGGGTAAAGAGTCAAACTGAGTATGTGAACAAAGTTCAAACAAGGGAAATTCCCGTTGGGTATATAGAAAAAAATCTGGATTATTGTGGTGAAACACTTAAATAAGGAAATGTAGGACCTTAGCCTATTGAATTCTGGGGAAGCTATCCCAGTTTTGAGGTTATCTCTGCTTCGAGGAGGAGACTGCACTCTGAGGTTTTCTCCAGCCCAATTTTTTCTAAGATTCTATGCATAGATTCAAAGAAGTCACATTTTTTTTGGCATATGTAGTAATGCATGAGCTGGAAATGAGTTTTATTTGCTAGTCCTTACAGTGAATCTTGATGTGCAATTAACCAGTGCATGTTCTGAATATTGATAATGAATTGACTGACTTGATTAATTGGATGCAATTTTTAATATAGTAAACTAGGGAGGCAGTGAAATAAAGAGAAAAATCTTCAAGGATTGCTTCCCCCAGTGGTGTCACTGTTCCTGTAATTCCTGCTTTTGTCCAGACCCCTATAGTAAATACAAAATTTGATGATAGTTCAGATCTTAATTTTTTTACCTTTCTGAGTTATTAATACCAACAGCAGTACTCATTTTAAGAAGTTGAAATGGAAAAATAATCTTTATTTCTATTTCATATTAATCTAGAATCTGTCACTCAGTTTCTTTCACCTGGCCCAGTAGCAGATGTTGCTAGTTAGCAGTAAATACTTTCTCAGGCTGAATCATAAACTAATGTCCTACTTGATGTGCAATATAACATACCTGGCATATATGTTGTTAACTGGTCTTGTACTAACAATCAAATCAAACTCTGATCACTGAATAGACTGTTTTTCCTTTTTAGATATGGATTTGTATCTTTCCTGGAGAATGTGGATGTTCAAAAAATAGTAGAAGTAAGCTCTTTTGCTAAATTATTTGAAGTTGATTTATGAAGGCTAGAGACAGGTTCAAGGGAAGCCAACTTACGTAGAGTAAGTTAGAACTAGGAAAGTCTAGGGCAGCCGAAAAAGTAAACTTGATAAACTGTCTGCCGGTGGTAGTATCTTTATGTATTTACTTAAGTAAGAAACAAAATCAGTGTTAGCCTTGGTGTGTTTGGATGCTTGCTTTTTGTAGTGGATGATTGTCATAGAATCTTTGTCCTTATGTCAGATACACAGACCTTTTATTATTGGAGATAACATTATCATGGAAGACAGTTTTTTACTTGACATCTCAGCAGTTGCAGTATGTTTCTCTTGCAGTATTTGTGCATTTTGGTGCTACTTGGAGTGCAAGTATTTTTTAAGCTTCTTGGACTGTGCTGCGGCTGTTCACGTGTTATAAATTTTCCTGTAGTTAACACAGGAGATGAGGGGTAGAACTGTTACAGCCCTTCTGCTCTTACAGTTCATTATCAGAGAAATTTTAAATCTCAGTGCTTACAGCCAAATCAGCTACTTGGTTCTGATGGACTTCAGTAGGTCTCAAACCATGGACAGAGCTTTTTTGTTTTCCCTCTTTCTCCCCAAACTGAGTACGGTAACTGTGAAAATAAATGTATTGAAATACTTCCCTCTCTGAAGCAGTCATTTCCTTTAGTATAGGTGGACAGTTTCTAACATGTTACGTGAAGCCTGTCAGGAAGTTGGTGGGAACGAAGGGAAGTGGCAATGTAAATAGAGTTTCAAGGGAACCTAGGCTGTGGTCACTCTGTATTAATATTCTCACTGAGGCAAGAATAATTAAAACTTGTATGTATAAAACCACAGGGCTGACAGTCACTAATATGTGGTTGCAAGCTACTAGTAGCGCATGTTGCTGTTAAGGCAAGTGCTATGAAACAAGTGTGGAGGCAGTGAGTAGACAAATGAGAGTGCTGAGGGCACTGCAGGAAATTAAAGATAAAAGACATACAGTGTTAAGAAGGAGAGGAGAACTGCACCTGTTTGTGAGTTGATGGTACTGTGGTGTAGAAGCAGAGTACAGTCTCCTTAAAATCCCACAAACCAGTCACCTCACTGATTCCTTACAGAGAATTAACTGTCTTTCAGACACAAATCAACTTCCACGGCAAAAAGCTGAAACTGGGGCCAGCGATTAGGAAGCAACAAAACCTGAGTAAGTATATCTAAATAAAATTGTTCATATAACAAATACGTATTAAGAGGTTTTTTTCTTAATTATACATCAGTATTCTTGCAGATACTCTTTATCTGATGCAGAATGTATGTTACAATTAAACCTTGGTTCTAACTTCTATGACCTCACTTGTATAAATGATGTACAGCTGTGATAATAAAACTTGGGTTGGTAGCACAATATAATACAGTTAATGTTGAGTTAAATTTAAAAGTCAAAAGTCAAGATTTTTTTCAGCTTAATTTCAGATTCCTAATGAAATACATGTGAAAAGGCCTTAATACTATCTTTTCTTTGCTTCAGAACAAGCTTCTTCCATACATCCCAGACCGTTTGTCCTTGGTCCTTCTCCACCACAGTTCCATAGTGTATGGGGTAGTCAGAATACAGAGACGTATTTTCAGCCTCCACCTATAATGAGCCCAGTAACACCGTATGTTCAGGTAAGGCTGTTCATGTCACTGATTTTGAATCATTAAATATTTTTGAAGGTGCAATCAGATCAGATTCCAATCTGATTTGCTCCTTGTTTTCATATTATCTTCCTGAGTAAGAAGCACACAACTTCAAACCACTTCAAAAGAATGCCAGCAACCTTGAAAAGCTGCTTGTGTTGCGACCTCTTTATAAAGAGGAAAATACCTTCTAAGAATGAGAACTGTTGAAGGTGGAGCTAAGATTGAATTATTTAACAGTTCTTAAATGATCTTGTTTCTTGTTGATGTACTTAACAAATCAAATCTGTCCAGATTTTTAATGTATTGCTGTCCTGCCTCAGAATAAACTACAAGCTTCAAAATGTATTTTTGTAAACAAGTATGGAACCAGAAGTTGTCTCTGGTACTCTTGTCTCCTCTTGGCCAAGCAGATTCTTGGATTTAAACTGCTGTTGTGTCTTAAGAACAGCAGATGCTGTTTTACTGCATCTGCTGCTCGTAGCCGTGGCCAGTACAGTATTGCCTGCAGGGCATCGCTGTACTGATACTTCGGATAAGGTGTAGGTAGAGTGAGTCCTGTACTGTGAACAGACCAGGTTAGACTCTCACTGCATTAGCCTGCGTGTTGTGGCAATGCAACAGGGCAGTATTAATTACCAACTGATCCTGCTTTCTATATTTTAAGCAAGTGAAGAAGAGCAAACTGCAGTGACTCACAGAAATAAGGCAGAGAGCTTGATAACAGTATTCTTGCTGATCCTCCTGAGTTTATTGGGAAAGTAGAATAGCGTAGGAAGAAAAATACTCACTTAAATGCTGGAATGTGCCTTTAACTATTTTCTGAAGAAAGGTTCCAGGTTAATGTTGTGTCAGAGTAGTTACAGGGAAGAAATACTGTAAAATGTCTGAACTGGAGTATTTAGCTTTCCTTTGGCTCCTAGAAACTGATCTTCAGGCTGTATCCGTTATTCTATAGTAGTTGGTCTGCTTCAGGTCTGCTACGGAAAGTTTATGGCATAACTTATTCTTCTGAAATGACTTAAAAGATCAGCTACAAGGAGATAATGGGATTTTTAGATGTATAAGACACTTTAGAATCCCACTGACTAGAGATTATTAGTGCCTGAAGTGCTGAAGCCAAGCCCCATGGGAAATCTGTAAGGGTCTCTTTTAAGTATGAGCCTAGTCTGAACAGGAACTGAAGTAACAGTATAGCCACATACTTCTGAAAACGTGCTTCTAGCTAATACCTCTACAAATAAAAGTACTTTTATCTTGCTTCAAACTTGCAGTTTTAAAAACAAAGCTTTATTTGCAGCCATATCCATACAGTTCATCACCAACTGTACTGCTAAAGCAGCAAGTTCCCATAGGATATCAACCGGCTTATAACTATCAGGTATGTAAAGCTTTAGTAGCAGCAGAAAGGCTGTTTGATACCTGACAAAACAGTAATGAAATGTTAACTGAAGTCTGATCTTACTGTGAATTCTGTTTTTCTTCAGCTCTTCCTTTGCAGATATTAAAACCTAGTGATATTTTTATTCTAATAAGATGGAAACTGTTGAATACCTTAGTATATGCTTTGGTTTTTTTTCAATAGAATATAGTTTTTGTTTCCTTAAATATACAGTGATAAAACAATTTCCAAATTAGGAAAAAAGTACATGGATTAGTAATACTTTTTCTTATGGGAAGGAGCTTTGTGTTTGTACATGCTATAGCAAGGGTAGCTGGTGTTAGGTAACTTAAGAGTCTTAGCAGACTATACAAATGTGGGGTGTATATAGGGGGGATGCACTCTGGCACTCTAAAAACATCAGAGAAGGCACTTACTGATAGTGGGTTTTGAACTCACTTCAAGTGAGATGTGTGCGTAAGTCCTGTCACTAAAATTAAACTAGAAGTTTAGTAACTGGAAGCAGCTAGAGGTTTGAGATTGTTTTCAGTGTGGCTGCTGTGATTTCCCTTATTTTTCCCTAATATTTAGAAATCCTATTTTTTTTTTTTTTTTATTTGGAATGAGAAGAGGAAGGAGACAGTTGAATAACATAAGCAATTTTGTTGGACGTAAAGGTATAGACTGTTGTTTAGTGAAAAATCCAAACATGAAATTGTATAAATGGTGGCTCTTGCAGAGCAGTTACTTGTCTGTGTTGGAAATTAATGGATTAAAGCTGGTTCTTGTCCAATATTTGTTTAAGGGTCAACCACAGTGGGTTGCTGGGGAGCAAAGAAGTTATGTTATGCCTCCTGGTCTGGTGAGTCTACAAAGTTAAACTTCTGAAACCGTCTTCTCAATTAGCACGTGGTTTTTACTGTTTGATACTTAAAAAAAATCAAAGTATTTGTTGTCTGGATCTGTATGTAATCAGATCTATAAAAATCTTGCTGACAAGAGCATGTAATTGTTTAAGATTTCTACTGAAGTGGTGCCTTTTTGAGCTACCAGACGGAACAGACCTACCTGTTTTATGGCATTACTTTATACATTCTGGTCACAGAACTCTGGAATTTTAACATGAATGGAATTGGTCTTTTCAGGAAAAGTCAAAGGAAAAATAAGTGATGACCTGATGGACAATGTTTTTTTAAATTTAAAAAGTTTCAGTGTTCTTTGCAAATACTGATTTATTTTTGGCTCCTTTCAACAGCTTTTAAAAATAGTTTCCCAGGCTGCTACAAACTGTAGATGGTGCTGCTGGCTTCTAAGAAATTACTTGCGCTCTATGACTTTATACAAGTGACATCTATGGAGAGAGGAAAAATACTGTGTATTTCTTTAGCAGTGTTGGAACTTAAAGTTGCTTCTTGGGGCATTTTTATGTTCTTTAGGTATAATCTTGTGGTTATTGAGTGCAGTTTCAATTAAGTGTTTAAAAACTGTAATACATAATTTTATTCTGAATGATACTCTCTTTTTCTGAAAGTTTTCAGAAGTCGCTGAAATACTGACTACCCTGTTGGCTTGAAGTAATTTTTGTGCAATAACATTCATGAGTATGATACAGCCACAGTATGTCACTTAACAATTAAGTGGTAGCAGGTCAAAGAGTCTTTAGAGTAGGACTGCGTAGGGCTTTCATTATTAGATGTTTTAAGCTTGATTATGTGAGCGACAGCTCTTCTTGAACTGTCTCTGTTAAGCAACTGAAAGTACCATTAGTAACTGCCTTAATAAAATAGATCAGGATGCAGCATTTTCCCCACTCAGGACACTTCTGGCAAAAGTTTGAAAATATAGTTGGCACGGCTTTACGGATAGATAGATGAGGATCAGTGAGAATATTACTGTGCATGCAGTGTTACTGAAGTATTGCAATACTTATAAAACTATACAGGTTTATGCATCGGTAAACCATCACGCTGAGGATCCGGGATTTATACAGACGGAATGTGCTGTTCCTGAGCCCATGCACTTGCCTGCTAACAGCCCACAAAAGGTAAGGTCTTTTGTCTCAAAACTTGGATGTTCATTACCGTAAATCCTGTTCCCAGAAATTTGCACATTAAGATTACGTGGCTTGGGTCAAGGGCCTCTGACAGGTATCCTAGGAATTTAGGTTATAGCTGCCACTTTTAGCCAGTTGCTCAGTCCCGTGTATCTGATTGATGTGTACAACTTCAGAAGTCTTATGTTTCCTTTAAACTGTTAGTACTTGTCTGCAATGCTGAGGGCTGTATAAAATGTGTGATCTACTTGATTAAGTATACTAATGTTTTTAAGTGACAGAACTTTACCTGTCACCTTTACTTTAATCTGTAATAATTTTAGGGAAAATTACAGGTACTAAAAAAGCATATTAGATAGCACTACCTGCTGTTTTAGATGTATTTTAAGCTTCAAGCATCTGTTGGTAGTGGTTACTCCCTTTTTCACTGTGGAAGCTGACCCCAGTATAGCCAATAGTTGGCTCTGAATTCAGTTTTCTAAAACAGACTTCGTTGTTCAGCTGCCAGCCAGCCTATTCCACTGAGGGGAGATAATGTAACACAAAGGGGGGATAATGAGTTACCAGTATTAAAAGTTAGGTACCAGTATTAAAAGTTAGGGAGGAGGAAAAAATGACAAATACTTCAGGGAACGTAAGGCATTTGAGAACAATCCTGAATGCCAAGTGAACCCTATGACACACCAGCATTGCTAGGTAGTAGTGCCCTAACTAAGAAAATCAGTATTGATGCACCTGTAACTGTATTTCAGAAGTCTGTGGACAGGGGCATGCAAACAGTAGTGTCCTGTCTGTCTAATCCTGAGAACCAGCTGAGGAATGACTCTCTGTCACAAGACGACAACATAAAGGTATGTAGTGAAAGCAAAAAGAAATCTTAAAATACAGCTGCCCTTCGATTTGTTCGCCTACAGGATACAATAAAGATGAAGGGATTAATATCTGGAATGCCATTTGAATTTTTTTCCTTCCTTGTACATGTTTGGCTCTCAATTGCTTAATGCTGGAAAGAAGTGCTGAAATTGGATTCAATGGCTTTAATCAAGATGGCATGAATTGCTGAACATTGCTAATGGACAATTAAGAGCATAAGTCTGGGTAGTCATTTCTCAGTGACAAATGGCTGAAAGCAGTGGGTTACTATGTAGTTTGGACAGAGGATGTTGTTACAAGCCTTGATAGTCTTGTTAGTTACCTGCCCACTGTAGATGGTGGCTAGTTGTGCTTTGTCTCTGCTTTAAGCAATAAATTGTAGTTTAGGTTGGTAGCTGGTCTTCTGAAACGGGAATACAGAGGCTGTATTTATCAGTTTTGTAGAGGGAGAATAAACTACAGAGTATCTCAATATAGTTTTCATGAAACTTCAGTTACCTTATTCTGATTATCTGATTTTTTTTTCCCCCCCCCCACCCCGTCCTGTCTTCTATCTGATCCCAGGAGAGCAAAGTATATCACTTCCGAAAAGGAAGGACAGGATTCAAAAGTGTTTGATGAATGAAGACTTCGGAGTATCTAAATTAATTAAGTCGATGTTACTACAGTTCAGCAATACATTCAGCATAATATTTCTCATAGTTGCTTCAAGTTAAGTTTGTGTTCATGTTCGACCTGTTTTGATACAGTTCCTGCTTGGGTAGTTTGAAGTTTAAAGTTGTAAGAGTTGACAAACTTCAGTTACATTGTTTGCATGCTTCCCCAGTTTGTTTGCTGCATGTGGATTTTCTTCTGAGTTTTAACGTACACTTTACATATTACACAGGTTTGCTTTAACCACAATTTGACTCACCCTGACCAGTTAATTTTTGCAGTTTAAAAATGGAAATAGTTATTTACCCAAGAGATTGTATTTTAAAACTGAGTTCTTAAATCAGGGCAAAAGAAGATATAACTGAGCTGAAGCCCTTCTTAAGTCCTAGTTGCCTTTAGACAACATAATCAATGTGATTATGTTCATTACTGACACTTCATGTACCTGCAGTCTTGAGCATCAGTATTGGTTTTGGGTAAGTAATGAAGAGAATCCTGACATTTCTGTATGTAACTTAAAATGCAAGAATGTAATTATCTGTATTGGCTACTCAGTAGAGTATGATTTTTTTAATTAAAAAATCCTAAAAATATCTGTATGTTAAAATTCTGAGAAAATACTGCATTTAAAATATGCTTTTGTTGTGTGATGCAAACTGTTAATCAAAGACTAGCTGTAAGACTATTTTTATAATCATGTATATTTTAGTTGTGTATTTTGAAACAATGAAATAAATTTTTATTTTGCCTTGGCTACCTAAATTTCTAGTGACAAATCTAACTAATAATTTGGTAAAGGTATTAAAACCTTAATACCCTGTACAAGAATTCCAGTTACTACGAATGTCCAAGGACTGCTTCTCAGGAGTGTTCGGGATAAATTTAATTAAGGGGGGATGGGGGACAGTGTCAGTTTACTGGTAAAGATAATTGTTTCTTTGCAAATGCAGATGTCATTTTGACTTGATGTTCTAGTTGATTTGGTTGCCCTGGGCTGTATTTAAAGCTTTATGCTGGAGCTATAAGAAGACACAGAAATGTGTATGTGTAGCTCTCATTGAAGAATCTCAACACCAAAAGAAGACATAAACCTCAAGATACCTACACAGAGTGCACATTTTCTGTTTATTTGACCAAGTTTTACTCCCAGGACCATCTGGTGAGTGAGTTGATGGTTCAGTGTGTGTGAAATGGTGGTGCTAGATACGAACTATTCTTACAGGAATGCTGAGGTTTATCACAGGGAAATGCATAGCCAAGGCCTTACAAGTGCCATTTATTTTCCATTACATCATGTTGTGCTGGTTTTGTTAGCCACAGCCTTAGGGAATTGTTTTTTGTTTTTTTTTTTTTAAATTCCCGTCTTGGAGTTGTATCTTTTGGAGCATATGCCAGTAAAACTAACAAGCTATAACTGAGAACATGCATTTATAATGTTTTTTTGAAGTACCCTGTAAACATAGCACAAAACCAGTAGGTAAGTCTCTTTTGTGTTGCATTCTGAAAGTTGAAACATTTATTTAATGTGTGTGTGGCTGAAGGCATTTCTAAAATGGGTGCATGGTTGAGGCTTCTTGCAAATTTGTACCTCTTGTATTCTCAAATCAAGTGGACTGCGTTAATTGTGAGCCAGCAGGCAGTAGTGAGGCTTGGTGGATCTGCCTTGGCTTGTGCACAGTATGTATGTTCTCTGTGAGACTCAAAAGCATTGAGTCTCCTTTAAATATTAAGATAACTCTGTCAAAAGAAGCAGTTGTTTAGACAAGATACCAAGTAAATGCAAGCATTGTATTTTTCTGTTCTAGAGCTATGACACTTGGTTTGTATTATGGTTCTTGGCTGAAGTGCCCCAGTTTGCTGCTTGTTGGCCTTTTCATACTTTCTTTACAAGCTTTGCCCCCTGACAGAATTATTCTTGGAATGAGACAGCCAGACAGATGGCATTCTTTGATCTCCATTAGAATGATTGTCTGGCACAGACACTAATTCCCTGTCGAAATGGAAATATTTTTTTCCTTCTAGGTATTTGTGTGCTAAACCAAGATGAATTGTGTCTTAACATGAAGGTGATCTGATCCTCGATTGCTACAAAGAAAATGGTTTTTCCTAAAAGTCCTCTAACAGGTATACGGTCTGTATTCCTTGCAGGAATGACTTGGTAGACCAGTGTTTTAGGATAGATGAATATTTTAAGAGCTTTAGTGTCTGCCACTTTCAATGTTGCTAACAAAGTAAAATTTTTAAAAAAAGTGATCCATGCTATCAAGACAATGAGGCTTCTTCAGATGAAATATGGCATCTCAAGAAAATCCTAAAGTAGCTTTACAACCAGATGGATATTTGCTTCGTACTTTTTTATTCCTACTCTTAAAATTCAGGCTTCTCCAGGGAACACAAGTACACATACTTTACCTGTAACTTGTTTTAAAAAAGAAGGCCCCAGCTGAGTTTATACAAACTAGGCCTTTGTATTGCCCCAGTGATTCTTCTGGCTTAAACTTCTGTGAATAAATTCAAAGGGAGGTTTTTTCCAGTAATATGAACTTATATGTACTTGGTGCTCAAGACAAACATGAAAGGGAGTTTTCTGCTTGTTTACCTTAAGGTTGGGAGACTGTAGCAAGTACAGTAATGAGGGCAGGATTTATATTTAAAAACATACTGCTGTAAAATACAGTGTCAGAGCTGAAAATAAGGCTATTCATGCTGCTAGTCCTAAAACAATTACCGTATGGAATCTCAGAGCTTCTGAATATGTAGTCAAATAAAGATGCATGCTGTAGTTAATATATTTCTCATGTAGTGGGGGTGTTAGAGGTGCTGCTTGTAAGACAGTGCCTATGTGTCTGCAGTAAACCTGCTGTGTTTGGGGTGTGTGTAATCATGCCCTCTAAGCTTTTAACTTAACCTGTTCTTGTAGGTAGTTCTTAAGGTCAGGTGTTCAAATTTCATTGTATTTGAACTATTTGGTGTTTGGGCTAGATGACCTTTAAAGGTCCTTTCCAACCCCAGCTGTTCTATGATTGTCTTAAGGAGTCTGCTTTCTTTTTTTTGGCTAGAACAAACCTAACCAAGTGCTTTTCCCCCCTTAATTTGTGCTTGTTCCTTTATTACACTATGAGTGAGTGTTCAACAAATACTTAAGCTTCTTTTAAGGTCTTCCTAGAACAATTAAAACAGAGAAACCCACCAATTTCAATAGAAGTCTTCTTTCCCTGGGGAAGAATTTGTGCCTAAAACTGCAGATTCATACATAGTTCATTTCATAGAATGGCTTGGGTTGGAAGGGACCTCTAAAGGCCATCTAGTGAACCCCTCTGTAATGAGCACGGATATATTACTAGATCAGGTTGTTCAGAACTCTGTCCAACCTGACCATAAATGTGTCTAGGGATGGGGCATCCACCACTCCTGGGCAACTTGTTCAGGTGTCTCGCTGACCTCATGGAAGAACATTTCTTCCTTCTGTCCAATATACATCTACCTTCTTAGTTTAAAACCATTACTTGTCCTATCGAAACAGGGCCTATTAAAATGTCTCAATCTTTCTTACAGGTTCCCTTTAGTGTTGGAAGGCCACAGTAAGGTCTCCCTGGAGTCTTGTCTTCTCCAGGCTGAACAATCGCAGTGCTCTCAGGCTGTCTTCATGGGAGAGGTGCTCCAGCCCTCATGGCCCTCCTTTGGACCTGACCCAGCAGGTCTATGTCTTTCCTGTGGTTGGTATTCCAGGTGAATGCAGTACTCCAGTTGGGGTCTCACCAGAGAGGCAGAATTGCTTCCCTTGGGAGGGAAGGGGGCAAACAACCTAGTGTTTTGGCCTGTAACACAACTGTGCAGCCATCCAGTTCTTGCCATGTCAGCTGACTTTAAACTGGATGTAGGCAGCAGTTAAATTATTAAAATGGGATTAATGGCTTCTGTATGTCATAATAAGATAAATGATGCCTTTTTTAACATATGCCAAGGGGAGCCTCTGTACACATGGTGGAGTAATCATATAGAAATGTGTTATGAGCACACACTTCAGTCTTTTTCTTTCAGGGGAACAGTGAGGTAGGTAATAGAAATATGCGTTGGTCAGAGGACATTACCTAAATCTGAATTATTTTGGTTGGAAAAGACCTTTAAGATCATTGAGTCCAACCAGCATTAACCTAACACTGCCACATCTACCATAAACAATCCCTTAAGTGCCATATCTACATATCTTCTAAATAGCTCCAGGGAGAGTGACTCCATCACTTTTCTGGGCCTCCTGTTCCAATGCTTGAAAACTCTTGTGTGTGAAGAAATTTTTGTGAATATCAAAACTAAATCTCCCCTGGCACAACCTGAGGCCATTCCTTGTTGTCCTGTTGCTTGTTACTTTGGAGAAGAGACTGACCCCCAGCCTCGTTTCAGGTGGTTGTAGAGAGCAATAAGATCTCCCCTGAGCCTTCTTTTCTCCAGGCTAAAGAACTCCAGCTCTCTCAGCTGCTCCTCATCAGACTTGTGCTCGAGACCGTCACCTGCTTCCTTGCCCTTTTCTAGACATGCCGTGGTGACTCATTGTTTTTCTTGTCGTGAGGAATCCAAAACAACACAGTATCAATATGTGGCCTCACTAGAGCCCAGTATGGGGACACAGTTGCTTCCCTTATCTTTGTGATAGAAACCAGGATGCTCTTCCCACCTGGAAACACTGCTGGCTCATGTTCAGCCCTGCCTCAGCTGCAGCCTGGCAGCCAGCTAAGAACTGATGCGGAGCAGGGGAATCCAACTGTTAAAGCATCACGAAGGCCTGGGGCAGGTGCTGATGCAATGTGATTTCTGCCCAGTGCTCTAAGTGTCAAGGCAAAGAAATTCAATAAAGCACAGGAAAAGGGTAGGAGTAATCTACTACTCTGTTAAGAAGGGACTATGATTGCTAACTGGGCTGAGGTACAGAGGTTGTATCTTTCTGTGGTCACAGTGGATGCCCTTAGGGGTAACTGAGTTGATCTTTGCTGTGTGGGAATTACAGCTGCTCCTTCCCTATCAGGGGCATTTGGCATTTGCTGCCCACTTGATAATATCTCAAGTGAAACAAATGGTGATCATGTCACAAGCCACCACGCCCTGACCCATGGGATGGAAAAGCTGGGTAGAGTGAGCAGCTTGGAGGATAGTGCTGCTAAAACTGATGCAACCCCCACAGGATGGTCAGGCATGCCAGAGTTGACCTCTGTGAGCTGCTGCCATCAGGCTCCACGCTGGTTGCAGCCCAGAGGGTGTAGAGCCAGGTCAGACATGTCAGTACCAGACCCTGATGCAGGTGATGGTTGGCCATAGCCCCCTCTATAGTGAATTTGATAGATGCCAAACTGCCAATTATAACCTGCTGCACAGTGGGAACCATACCAGTGACCACTGTGATGATGTCAGTACTATCTAGGGGAATTGCAGGCATTGTCACATAATGTCAGTTTGGGGTTGTATCATGACGTGTCACATAACACGTACCATCAGTTTTGGACAAGATTTTACCAATTTTGACCAGGGTGGATGGGCTACCTTAACCTGGAAAAGGGGCACACAGAAGTATGTTTGATACCTAGCCAAGTGCTTCATCATTAATTGGTGACATGCATGCACTGTACCTATCTACTATCCAGCAAAACCACAGCCAAAGGAACGGGCTTGGAATCAGTGGGGAAAGGAGCCTGTTGAGCTTGACTCTAGTCTGGCACTGTAAAGAAAGACAAGAGATGTTGAATAAGTGTTTGGCAGTGTGGGGTGACTGGCCCTCTGGAGTCATGGCCATTGGTGAATTACCACTATTGTTAGGATTTTTCACTTACCTTTGGGGGGTGGAGTGGGGGTGTGAGCCCGGAGGGGGTTGAGTCCTGAAGGAGGCTCTCACTTCTAGCTGAGGACCAACTTCCCCGTTGGCATGTCCTTTGCAGCCCCAGTGTCTCTGCAGCTATAGCTCTATGGGCTCTCTGAACTCTAATGACAGCTTGAGGCTGAGGTGCCCAGCATGATGGGTGGCCCAGATGGTCTTTTTCTGCCATGCAGCTTTCCATCCACTCTTCCTTAAGCCTGTAGTGTTTCGTGCAGTTTCTTGTGACCCAGTTGCAGGATCCAGCACTTGGCCTTGTTGAAACTCCTAAAACTGGACCATCAGTCCAGCCTTTCCAGATCCGTCTGCAGGGCCTTCCTGCCCTCCAGCAGGTCAGCGCTTCTGCCCAACTTCATGTCTTTTGCAACCCACTGAGGGTGCACTGATCTCATCTAGATCATTGGTAAAGATATTAGACAGGACTGGCCTCAATACTGAGCTCTCGGGAGCTGACCAGCTGGATGCAACTCCATTCACCAACATTTTCTGGGCCCAGCCATCTTGATGATTTTTACCCAGCTAAATGAGATTGCTTGCTTGGTACTCCTGATTCTACTTGCACTAGAATAGATATCTTTATACATAGTTAAGCAGCTCGTTTACTGAATTTCTTCTAAGGAAATGGGTTGCAGAAATAGGATGTTTTGGTTTAACCCCAGCCAACAATCAAGTACCACTTGCTGTCCCACCAGCAGGATTGGGGAGAGAATTAGGGTCTCAGCTAGAAAACTCGTGGATTGAGATAAAGAAAAGCAAAAGCCATGCACACAGGCAAAACAGAACAAGGAAGGAATTCACTGCTCCCTGTGGGCAGGCAGCTGTTCAGCCATCTCCAGTGCATAATGGTTATTGGGCAGACAAACACCATCACTCCAAATGTTCCCCCCTTCCTCCTCCTTCCCTCTCCACTTTTTATACTGAGCATGATGTAACATGGTATGGAATATGCCCTTGGTCAGTTGGTGTCACAGCTGTGTCTCCTTCCAACCTCACGTGCACCCTCAGTCTCTCTGCTAGCATGGCAGTATGAGAAGCATAAAAAGCCTTGGCTCTGTGTAAGCCCTGCTCACCAATAACAAAAACATCTCTATATTATCAACATTGTGTTCAGCACAAATCCAAAACATATCCCCATGGTAGCCACTGCAAAGAAAATAACTACTTCAGCCCAAACCAGGACACAGATCTTTATTGATAAGACGCTTCTTGTAAGTGCTAGACTTCATCTGTTTTTGACAGTGAAATAAGTCTGTCTGGTCTTTTTCTTTGAATGTTACAGTATTTATAAAACCTGAATTGTCAGTTGTGCTTATCTCACTGTTGCACTAGATATCCCCTGACTTAGAAGACGGACAGACTCTGAAATTACTTGTTTTCTTAGGTTGTCTTGGGTAGTTTAATTAATTAAAAGCGCAAAGTTAACAGGTTTTAAAAGCAGATTTTTCAAAGTAAGATAGAATCAATAGTGGTGGAGTTTCAGAAATTATATTTTAGTGCTATGTTGCCTGTTAGTAGACTGTGAAGTCTGGGCTGATGAGCTTTGTTCTGCTGTGGTTTCTGGGGAACTCAGTAAGGTGCACAGCACTTCAGAACACCAGTCTGCCAGAAGATGGGGAGCTGCTGTGCTGTGTGATAGCTCACACCAAAGCCTGCTTTCTTACACTGACACAGGACCAAACATGGCTACCGGGGTGAAGAAAGCTTGAAAGGGGATTTTTTTACTTCTCCTACTACATGTAACTTGATTGTTCAGCTTTTAAAAACAGCGTTTTAGGCAGTTAATTCCGTGCAGGAATATCTGGAAGAGGTTCAGAAGTCTTGAGCTGTTGAGTCAGTAGATTGAAATAAAACATAATCCTGGAACTGACACTTCAGCGAATTCTTCTATGTCCAGGGAAAGAACATTTTCTAGGCTTCTGTGTAAACTCAAGGCCACTACAGAAACATTTTATGTCTCAGCACTACTGAGCAGTTGTCTACTGATTCCATTTCCCTCAGCTTGGGAGGGATGAATGTGATGAAGCACATCTGCTTCTAAAATGGCCCTTATTCATGTTTTTTCAAATTATTAAGCAGGTCCTAACGTCAGTCACGTCAGCACTAACTGCAAGCAGAGCTCCTTCAACTGAATGAGGTTTGGTTACTTATTCTTTAAAATAAGTTTTAAAACTGTTCTTCCGAAGAGCATTTTCAAATAAACAAGACTGAAATATTTTTGCATTATAAGCCCTGACTTCTGTCTCTTCTAGACTCTTTGATGTGTTTTTGAGAAACCATACCTGAACATAACACAGTATGGTGACTGAGCTGGGTGCAGATGAAGGTGTAGGAATTCTTACAGGCTAAAGATACACGAGGAGTTCATTGTTTTTGTAACATTTCTTATTCACATTATGCTTTGTAATACTTCAGTGAGATAAGTCTGGCTAGTATCTGGTTTATAACCGTCTCGGTTCTATTTCTGCATGTTAATCTTCATGCTGTGGTGGACCCAGCTGTGCAGTCCATCTTCTAGCAGAATGGTACCAGTTGCCATGACAGCAGAGAGCTACCTACTGGTGACAGAATAATAGGCATGTGACTTCTTTAGAAAGTGTCACACTGTCATTTAGTCGTGAGCCAGCAGGTGGGGCATGAAGCTAACAGAAGCCAAATACTGTTAATTTAAAAAACCTTTCTCTTGGGCAACACTACGGTCTGCCTTTTTACAATAAAAGCTGTCCATCGCAGAATATAGCAGTTCTTGTTGTAGACTAGTTAATTTCTGGGTTAAAAAGTACAGCTGTAAGAAATGCAGTGAGAGCACTTCGTAAGATTGCCAAAGGTTGTGTTATGAGTTGTCGTGGGTTTGGCAAAAAGGCAGGGTTTGTGAGCAGTTTTGACACTGGTTCCGAGTGTGTCAACAGGATAGAACTGGGCACTCATAGGGAAACAGGACTGGAAAGTTTAAACCACTGATGTATTCCATAGCTGAAAAATTTTTGTCAGCTTATTCGTAACTCTTTTCAGTTCCTCTCTTTATTTGTACAGTGCTTACAAATAAATCCTTAAATGAACTTGACAGTATTTCAAAAGGATATGAGTCAGAAAAGGCTTTGGTCCCCTGTTCTGCTTTCAGGTAAGTCTAGTTTATTCTGCAATCCCAAGAATTTGATAAATACACAACAGTTAAAGCCCGTTAAGAGATACTCAAAACTCAGTATATTCAGAAGGTACTCATTTAGCTACCTTCTTTGTTCCCTTTTTTACAGAGGTGGGGTTAAAATGAGTAAGAACATGGACCACTTCTTTAAACTGGGTACTCATTCCTGGTCTCTCTGTTCTTGTAAATGGAACACAGTCACTGGCAATGAATGGGAACTCAGTGCTACCAGTGCTCAGTGTTACCTGCTGTTTTCAGTGTTTCCTAGGACCAGATCCCTCTAGGTTGGTTGGAGGAGGAGAGTTGGTTATCCAGCAGAAATTGTAGATAATTTAATTTTCTGTTGCTGTGTCTGCTTTCCCTAGGGAACTGTGATCTCTATGAAATGTTTGCTTTCTTGGGTGACATTTTCCAATATAAATGACGTTTTATGACAGTATTATGAAGCCAACAGTGAATAGACTAAAAAAAAAAAGGTTCACTTACATATTCGCTTATCTTGTTATTATAGAAACACCACTAAAGAAGTTAAAAAATTAAAGTAGTATTTTTGCCGAGTTTCTACATTTAACAATCTTAGTTAATAAACATATAAACATATTAAAAATAAACAATCTTAGTTAAGAGCTTCTGTACATGCCCAGATCAAATTTTGTCTAATTCATTATTGTACATCGTTATTGGAAACCTGTCTCTAAATGGAAGAGTAAAAGGGCAAGAAAACAGATCCTTGAGAACACACTCAGCTTCTAGTAGGTTGTTTTGCTCAGGTTTTGATCTTTTATTCTTCCTTTTGGTATATATTGAAGAGAATACAAAGGCAGGCTGTACTAGAGTATTTTGCCACAATGTCATAAAATGCACAACATTTGTTGTATGACTCCAATATGTTTTGATCCTTGCTTTACAGACTTAGTAATGCTTTAACCTAAATAGCAATCCATTAACTTGCAACAAAGCTGTTACTTAAAAAAAAAACCCAATTAAAAAATGAAATTATGAAGCAAAATTCTTTCATGGATGATTGGGATTCTTTAACGGATTTTTTGCCATACTCAATGTTCTGAAAAGAATTTAAATTCTGTATAAAAAACCCAACCCTGTGATGGAACTGCCTAAAAAGAAAGCAGTAGTAGATAGTACTATGTATTTATACCTAGAGTTTTCCAGAAGTACTCATTGTCTGTTGTGAATATAGTAGTTTCAAGTACAGTGTACATGCTGCCTAAGCAGCCAAAAATATTCCTGTATGCAGAACTAGAAGCAGCTCCTGAGGCCACAGGACAACCTAAGTCAGGAAACTTCTCATGTATATGATGAGATATCGTCTGAATAAGATTGTTATAAAAAATGTAGGGGACATACGTAGCCAATGATGATTCCTGACGTCATTTTGAAGCTTTGAGTTTTGGCAACAGGTCTGTTCCAAGCTACTAGAGTGGTCTCTTAATCCAAGTGGCAGGGGTCCGTGTTTTGGCAGCAAATGATGTATTATCTCAAACCAGCCTGCTTGGCTTGTAACATGCAGCTTCAGAAACTATGAAATTCATGTTTCTGTGTCTGTTCCCTCACATATGTACAAGCTAAGGATGACACAGAATTGTATTATAGTACTGTTAGTTATTTTGGAAAGAATGCTTTTCAACTTGGAAAGCAAATGTCTCAAACCTAATTAGAAACAGAATTCTGTCTTAGTTTAAGGACAGGAGCAGTTAAGGGGATTGGCTGAGATGCCCATTAAGTGCCCCTGGCAAGGCTCTGTGGGAAACAGAGAGAATCTCTGTCTTGCCTTACTCGAGAACAAAGTTTGATTTACTTTCACCTGAATTAAATAACATGGAGAGTTAAACTTCAGAGTCTTTTAACATGTTAGGAAACTGAAGTTTGCAAACTAGATTTTTATGATACTAAATTTTAGGAGTCTTGTTATCTGCTCTTTTAACCTGTGTGTTGCACTTCATATGTAGTAACAAAGAGGTGGAGCTAGTGGGGAAAATGAAATGCTGTAATTAGTTACAAATGCCATTAGTTTTCTTACTGTATTTGTTACTTATAACAAGGATATATTTTAAAAAACATACTTAATTGTAAGGTCAAGGATGAAACTTAATGGTTTTATTTTTCAAATACTGTTTCCCAGGTGCTTTGCATGGCAGAGTAAGGTTTCTAAAGACTTGTAGCAGGTTTTTCACCTTACCATCCCAGAAAAGTAAAATAGTGCAGAAAATACCAACCTTTGCAGTTGCAGAAAGTTGGTCAACTTAAAATATTTATTTATTAGTACAAGTGCACAGATAACATCAGACAAGTTCATGTTTTGTGTCCATATGGAAACGCTGATGAGTATAGAGTCCACATTTATCTTATTCGAATGCTACTTGCTTTGTTAATTCGTCATGTGCTCAAGCACCTTCTCTTCAACACCATTGGCTTTCTGTCTCTGGTGTCCCAAGGTTCTGAATGCTGAAATCACTTTCAAAATCACTTCTATAACGGAACTGCCTAGAACGGTATGGTTTTACAGTTTTCAAAATCTGAAACTATTCTGTAGCTACTCCACTCATGCGTTTCTCTTGATAACTGAGTCTCTTCAGAGCAGGCTATTCTTGTCCTGCCCTGTTACTTCTAGTTGGATCTAGAGTAGAAAGTGCTCTTTGATACTCATTCTTTATACTGCTTCTTAGGAGTCTGGGTTAGATTGTGGTTCTTGTTCACTTTCTCTTTTGTCAAACTTCATCTTATTAGCTATACTTGATCCAGTTACACAACAAAGATACCTGAAAAGGGCCTTACACTTTTTACTGGGGAGGGTGAAGCACTGTTTGAATACTTCTAGGTCTGAGAAGTTTAAAGAAAACTTAGAGTAGAGTTGTTCAGGCCGCAGTGATACTTCTGGTGTATAAAATAACGCACTTGGAATACACAGTTCATGTGCAACTTGTGTGAGATCCTAAGTTTGCAGAAAGGATGAATTCATTACAACTTACTTTTTCATTAATTTTCAGATCTTTGCATTAAGTACTGAAATTCCTAGGACTGTATCTATTCAGATGGTAACGAGCAAATTCTTTCCACAAGTTATTACAAACAAGGCTAGAATCAGGTGTTCATAACTTTAAGATAGTGACCCATTAGTCTTTTGTCTAATCTAGTCCCTGTTTTGCCATTGGAACATAGCAGTCTATAACTTCCTCAGGAGGGGAAGTGGAAGGACACACAGTGATCTCTGTGGTGATCATTGATATGACCCAAGGGAATGGCATGAAGCTGTGTCATGGGAGGTTTAGGTTGGATGTTAGGAAAAGGTTTTTTACCCAAAGGGTGGTTGGGCACTGGAACAGGCTTCCCAGGGAAGTGGTCACAGCACCAAGCCTGTCAGAGTTCAAGAAGCGTTTGGACAGTGCTCTGTGGCACATGATGTGACTCTTTGGGCTGTCCTGTGCAGGGCCAGGAGTTGGATTTTGATGATCCTTGTGGTTTCCTTCCAACTCAGGATATTCTATGATTCTGTGAAATTTGTGGAATAGTATTTTTCTGGGGTGTATTTTACCTATCCGTCTACTACAAAGATAATAGACTGTTTAACACTTTGTAAAAATTTCATTAATTTTTGCATTATTTAAAGCCTGGTTGTCTAGTCCTTTTTTATATTAGTGAAATCTGTTCAAATGAGAATCTCAGCTGACCTCACTAACACATTTGGGCACCAAGTATCTGGTAGGTGGAAATCTAAAACTTCAAAAGTTCCAAAAATTACTTTCCTTTATATGTGATTTAGCTTAATGCAATGGAGAAATGGAAAGATGCATTGATTGGTTTATAGTCCGGAATGTTCAAGAAACAGAAATATGTATGAGTACATATCTAATTCCTTACTGATGGTGCTAAGCAGTGCTTAGTCTGGATATCTTAATGTAGGAAAAGGCATATATTCCAGCTCCTTCAGTAATTTAGTGTTTCTTGTTAACATGAAGTCTGTGCCTTCTGCACTGGCTTGTAACTAGCTGACCTTTTATAGAGAGCTTTCACTTGCAGGTTTTTGAAGCACCTGTGCAAGAGAAACAGCTCATGGAATGTAATCTGAAACAGGTCATAGCTTCTCTAATGCTTGCTAGACTGGCCCTTATGACAAGGAAAATCTGGCCACTGTTCTCATGACATAGAGCAAGAGCAGCTTTAGTGCCAACTTGATACAGCAGTAAATCTCAGTCTCTGGACAGTGGTCTTCTATATGCAGCCATTCGGGGACATATGTCTCTTGTTTCTGAAGGTTCTTCTACAGCTTGGATTTAACCAAAGTTATTAATGAGATGAGAATGTGAAATCTGTGTTATCTGTCAGGTGTGTACTGAAACATTCAAGAAAGGTGAAATAAATAGGGATGAATTAAATATACTGTCAGTAATTCTTCAATGTAGCCACAGCTTTCCTCTTGCTCTACACAGGCATATCCTGTCAGATACTGATCACATCAAAATTACGTCCACATATTGTTATATAACTATGTGTAGTCTTCAGAAATTTATGGCCATAAGTGTATTTTAAGTTTCAAGAGTACAGAAAGCACCTTTCAGAAAGAGCTTCCAAACAGAAAACTGGTCCGTAATTATACCCAGCCTCTGCAGCTCCCTAGTAGTTGCTGACAAATGAGCAATAGAAGCACTTTAATAATAAGAAATATAAAGATATTGTCCTGTGCCATTAAAATGCTCTAGCGGTAGAACTCCTGTTGAAGTCACTCTTCTTGGGAAATAAAATATGAGCTATTTTAAATATCTAATTGGGCTAAAATTTTGAGCTAGTCAGAGGCACAGGCTGCCTCCATCTTCTGGAACCCTGGAAAGGCATAAGTAGCTTCTGCTTCTGAGCAAAGGTTAGGTTGTGTGCTGCTGCTGCTGCTTGGGCAGAAAGGGTTATATCACCATCACCATTAGCAGCCGGGGACTGGTCTGATTCTCTCTTTAGCAGCAGTATAGATCCAACTTCTCCAGAGCTTTCTAGTCTGTCTGAGTTCCTTCAGATTTGGAGGCAGTTTTCCTCGTTACGGAGAAGCTATGGCTTAGTTCTGAATAACACCTGATGACATAATTACTTTGCAATAAGTAAAGAGTTCATCAAAAATTGAAACTTTTTATTTCCACTCAAGCTTATCATCACCTCTGTGTCTTGAGTCCTTCAGCCTGTTGAAGACTCAAATGTTGAAAACTACAAGACATTCAAGACCTTGAGAGTGCAAGAGTCTTGGAAAAACAAATCGGAACCAGACATGGGTCAGACAATTGCAGATTCTTTCTTGGAGCTGCCACAGTGGCAGGTTGCTTGGCACTAAGGAATTGTGCAAAACTAAAGGAATTGTTTTTCCTAGCGGTCATACCATTTTCTACCAACTGAGGTGGAAATGGAAATGAGTACAGGGGGGATGATGTGTTTGACATTGGTAAGACAGAGGTACTTTCTACTACAGGGCCCAAAATAAAAACTAGACATCAAAAATGAGGTATCTCAACAAGTAAGAAAAAGGTCTGATCCTTGGGTAATTAAGATGTTTCACAGCAATTTGCACTGGTGATCTGAAACTAACTAACAGTAAATGAGGAAAATATGCTAAATGACTTGTCTACCTCAAATGGAGCCTAGTTTTTCTCATTTTGTATTTTCTTTCTTATTTTGTCTTGTTAATAAAAAATTCATTAGATCCTAAACATGCTTTTGCAGAATGGTAGGTAAATAACAAAACTAATTTTCTTTACTGATATTTTGGTATCTGTTTTTGATTAACAGGAGTTAGTCAGAAGTAACTTAAGTTTTGCCAAATCCTGTTCAGTGTGATGTTGCAGGTGTCTCTTGCTTTTTGACAGAGGAAACACATTTTATTCTCAATGATCTTTAAATATTTTTCACACAACTGCAAAAACCAGAAAAATGGGATATGGTTAATTTGGACGCTGGAGTCTAACTTTGTAGTGAAAATAACAGCAACTGGCATTGCACTGAGTGTCATGCAAAACAATAAATGAATATCTTTGCTTTGCACCTGTGTGTATCTTTCCAATTAGTTGCTCAAATAATGCTTGGAATAGCCAAGCAAGGGGTTATTTAGTCGCATAACTAGAAACACCTTGCACAAGAGAGAAATGCTGTGATGTGATTTCATGCTGCTTTTCACAATATGTAATAATCTCTGCCTAGGCCAAAGTAAGTACAGATATTTGGTCAAGCTGAATTATTCAGTGCCCTACCGGTAGCAATTTACACCTACATTGAACTTGCCTTACCCAGCTGCACCTAAGACTACAAAGTGCAAATGGAAAACATGATCACTCCTGCTTGTGATACAGGAGGTTGTGGAGCTCTGCACTGCTAAATGTGGGGATTTACAAAAGAGATTACGCTGGCTAGACACAGAAATAAAACGTATCAAAGCGCTTTTTAACTCCTAACGTAAACTAATATTCCCTAATGGAGTGTCTAGGGGCAACATCTTACAGTTGATTAAAGCAGGTACTTCAGTTGTTTGTAGTTAAATAGTTGTTAGAGCAGTATTTTACCTTTTAATTACCAAGTCACTTGTGCTTTGCAGTAGTTTATTGTTCTGCAGATAGGTATTTGTGTGTGACTGTGCGTATATATATATGTATAGATATGCATACCACAACTCTGAAATGTCTAGGATGCTTGTTTAGGTTTTTTTCAAGTTGATCAGATTTCTTATGGAAATAGTGTTGCCTGTTCTTGGAGTACCATGTGAAATAGCTATTACTGATAAAATAAATTCTAGATCATATCTTATCAAATCTGTACCAACATGGTCTGAAAGAGGCAAATAATTTCAAAATATGGCAAAAGTGCATATTAAAAAGAATATATGAATACTAGTGAGCCAGAACTGAATTCTGAAGTTCTTACAGTGGTAGTCTAGAAACAATAGTTTAGATGTACAGCATCAGTTTAGATTTTGTGCTATGCTTCAACTTACATGCCTTGATACCAGGCACTTGAACCATCTTTGTTTTGTTGAATTTCAGTGTTGGCACACCGAAATAGGTGATAGTAGAGGTGTCTATCTTGGTAATCAATCTGCTGCTTCTCAAATATACTCTTGTAGTCAAAGGAAAATGTCTTAATGGCAAAAATCCTACGGAACCAACTTTTAATTCAAATTTGCCTCTAATAAAAAGTGCAGGAATGACATAATGGGTTATGTATTTAATGCTGGAATAGAAGAGTTCCAGGTTGAAACTGGTGCATCAAAACACCTCGTATCTGATCCCTGTTAAGTTTGCAGACATGTCTGATGCATGACTTTGAAGTGGGCAATGGAAAGATGTTTTGTAGTGCCTGGGTTTGTACTATCTGACCCACTGTAAACACTAATTTGAAACACTTTTCATGTGTACAGGACTGCTACTTCATAACAATCTACAGACATCTAGGAATGTTGTTTTTCTAGTGTTGATGTTCCTTTATGTGAGAAGACTGCATCAGTAAGAGTCTTCAGTGTTGTCAGACATCCTTTCAATTCAACCCCCAAGGTGTAGATCTGCATTACCCATGGTGTCAGCAAGCTCTGGTGCCTAGGATGCTCCTTCTGGAGCCATCTATGACCTGATGTGTTTACAGTACAGGGAAGGCTGCACTTTCGCATCTTCCTATACACTTAGCAATCCTTCGCCCATATGCTTTAACAGTAGTATTAGAAAAACAGCTCAATTACGCGGCACCCTGATGGGACTGCATGCTGCTTTCTCACATGGTCAGAAAGACAGAGAAACTAATGAGTGGAGGAAAAATGACAAGGGACAAGGAAAGAGGAAAAACTGTGTGTATAATTAAAAGAAATGGAGAGGATAAAACCAAAATACACAGAAGGAAATAGAAAAAGGAGATGGGTAAAGTTCCCAGACAAAATGCATTGGTAGTGTTTGCTTCGTAGTTCAGTGGTGGTGAAGTAACTTGATTCCTCATTTCCAAATGTTTTGATGTTATGCTTTTGGCTACTGACTGCTCACTAATGGTGATAGTTGTGCTTTAGGAGGACTTAAGGCCACTGGAGAGATCTTTTTGTTCCCTCATAGCACTTGAGGAAAAAGTGGGGGCAGTGCTTTCAAATAGATTTTATCCATCACAATAGCAGCACTTAATACAGAAATGTTCTGCAGTAAAGAAGGAATTGAGGTGCCAGTGTAGCATTTGCTTATATATTTTTACATAAATTAATTTTGTTTATGCACCTGCACAGTAGGGAGAGAGATTCTTAAGTGGACCATGTATAGCAAATGTAGTCGTGCCTGCTGAGCACGAGGACTTCAGGCAG